ATATGAGCCTGTCGCCGATATATCGGTATCGGCGAATATGCCGCCGATATGAAATTTTTTTTACAGAACATATAACGCAGATAAAATGCTTGAAATGGTGTAATTACTTAGTTTGTCCAGCAGAGCGCGCTCCATTGTTTGCTTCTGGCGACCTGGATGAAACGCTTTACAGCTTAAGTCTATGGAAAACCGTTAAAACTTTGAACGGCCATATCTCCATAACGGTGTGGCGAATCCGCACCAAATTCTGGGGATCCCTTCAGCTCGAGGAATCCTCTCGAACGCGAATCGAGTGTACGTTTAGAGGCCCGCTTTCGAACAAGACCACCCCCAGTCAACACTTTCACTTCAGTAAGGAGGTCTCTTGTTCAGGCAGCAGCATTCAAGCGTTGTCTTATTCGGCAAGACAAAACAGTAAAAAGCACATTTTGGCTTTTTAATTTATGCAATGGTGAAAAAAAAAATTGGCAAAATACATGGGGAAAATAAACTCGAAAAACCGTGTTCGGTATTCGGCCTTCGACCCAGTGTTTAATTTTGTTCGGTTTTGGCTTCGGCCAAGAATTTTCATTTCGGTGCATCTGAATTTATATTGTATTTATTTACAGAGGTATATTATGTCACACTTCACACTTTCGTCTGTGTGTGAAGACAGTAGCGCAAATCCGTGAATGAATGTTCCGAAGTGAAATAAACTTCAAAGGAATGAAGTTGAATAGAATTTAATTGAATTAAAGTTGAATAAACTTTAACTTTACGGTTCAGTGCACTGATGTCAGACTCATTTTGGATAATAAAGTTTATTGTTAAATGCCCTGCCTCCATTACGTATCTTTGTCACGTCATTATAAGTGTTTGATCACCACATTTGAGTGATAATTGCAAAAAATGTGTTTATATATATATTGTTTATGTATATACTGTATTCTATATATAGTACCAGTCAAATGTTTGGACCCTCGAATGGGAAAGTGTCCAAACTTTTGACTGGTACTGTACTATAATATACACAAAGAATATCGGCCGATATATCGATATCGGCCCTTTCTACTCCCTAATATCGGTATCAGTATCGGCCCCAAAAAACCGATATCGGTCGGGCTCTACTTTTTATTGTTTGAGTCACTTATCAAAAGTTGCTAAAAGTAGCCAAATAAAATGTAAAATTAGCTAAATTTGTTGCTAGGTGCTTTTGGAAGAAAAAGTTGCTAGGGTAGTCTGAAAAGTTGCTAAATTTAGCAACAAAATTGCTAAGTTGGCAACACTGATTACAGCAGATGTGCTCCTGTGTTTGTAAGTGTCGTGTCATGTCTTCATGTGTCCACTAGAGGGACACATTTCACATCCTACAGTCTCATGTCTCTGTTCTTCTCTTTCAGTATGTTTGATGTGGGAGGTCAGAGAGACGAAAGGAGAAAATGGATTCAGTGTTTTAATGGTAAATTGAGTGTGTGAATGAATCCTTGTGAGACGCATGCATGTTAAACAAGTTTGATGTGTGGTCTTTAGCAATTGCATCTCATATACTTTAAAGTGACAGTTCACCCAAAACTGAAATTTGTGTCATCATTTACTCAGCCTCATGTCATTCCAAACCTGTGCGAGTTACCGGTAGCCATTGACTTCCATAATATCTTTTTCCATACTATGGAAGTCAATGGCTACCGTCAACTGTTTGGTTACCAACATTCTTCAGAATATCTTATTTTGTGAAGAAGAAAGAAACGACATTAGGGTGAATACATTTTTGGGTAAACTGTCCCTTTAAGAACATATCAGAAAACAAGAAAACACACACTGATTCCACATATGTGGTGCTGATTTGCAGACGTCACAGCGATCATCTTTGTGGTAGCGAGCAGCAGCTATAACATGGTCTTAAGGGAAGACAACAACACAAACAGACTACGGGAAGCACTTGCTCTTTTTCACAGTATCTGGAATAACAGGTGATGCCTTTATTTTCTTATTCATAACATATAACTTGTTTTTGAGTGTAAGTGCAAGCTTTACTGACCCCCGTCTCTGTCGTGTCTTTATTTCTTCTTTTCACAGATGGTTACGGACAATTTCTGTCATATTGTTCCTAAACAAACAAGACATGCTGGCAAAGAAAGTATTAGCTGGGAAATCCAAAATTGAAGATTATTTCCCTGAATATGCTTCTTACACCTTACCTGATAAAGGTTAGGCTTTTCACCCAGACACACACCGATCAAGACCCAGTAGTTCTCAAATACTGTAGTCGTAAAGTTTTAGTTGTTCGCTGATAGATAATTAACATGCTCTGTTTTTCAGCTAAAGGAAATATGAAAGTTCTGTCATAAAAAAGGTGCACAAGCTCAATAAATGTGTCATAAAAGTAGTCCATATGACTTGTGCAGTGGATCTGTTTGAGTTGTTGAGTTGAACCGGAGATTCAGATTGGTCAAATCCAGGATCATTTAGTTTTGTGAACTGGATTCATGTGCAGGTCAGTGTCAGCTTCCCTGTATGTTAATCTGTCGAGCCTTTTCTATCTTTCAGTAACTCCTGAACCCGGTGAAGACCCCAGAGTGACGAGAGCCAAGTATTTCATTCGTGACGAGTTTTTGGTTAGTATTGTCTTTTTTAAATACACAGATTAAACACAGCAACTATTGCAGTCAGATTTTAGACTGCTTAATTTTGTTGTGATTTTCCTTTTCTCTTATGAAACGATGGAGGAAAACCCTGTTGATGGGTAATTTGTAGACTAGATATTGACCAACATTTACTCTCTATTTAAATAAGTAAACCAATAATTGGCGCCATCCTGTGGCTCTCTAAAGAATACATATTTACCATGTACTTCATTTTCAGTATTAAAGGGATAGTTCACCCCAAAATTTAAATTCTGTCGTTAATTACTCACCCTCATGTCGTTCCAAACCCGCTAAGACCTTCGTTCATCTTCGGAACACAAATTAAGATATTTTTGATGAAATCCGAGAGCTTTCTGACCCTGCATAGACAGCAAGGGAACTACCACGTTCAAGGCCCAGTGATTTTTATGAGGCTACGAGAATACTTTTTGAGCGCAAAGAAAACAGAAATAACGACTTTATTCAACTATTACACTCAATTCAGACTTTAAAGACTCACAAAATATAATTTCCCTGGAGATTCGGTGGAATATTGGCTGGTTGTTTTCTTCAAGACACTGTAATTTAAACCTTGTTTAGCCTTTAAAAAAAGGCATACCTTTTTTTTTTCCCTTCTGTCTCATAGCACATTTCCAGAAGAATCCGTTTAAGATATATATTTATGTTTCTTAAATACATTTTAACTACAAAGTGTAATTAATCATCAAAAAATGGTTGTAATCATTTGAAATTCCTCATTTTCACCGTCTTTTCACAGAGGATCAGTACAGAAAGCGGAGACGGCCGTCACTACTGTTACCCCCATTTCACATGTGCAGTGGACACGGAAAACATCCGCCGGGTCTTCAACGACTGCCGAGACATCATCCAGATAATGCACCTGCGGCAGTGCGAACTCTTGTGATCTCACTTCGGCTCTTTATGAACGTGTCTCCACCTCATAACTCACGAGGTCGAAACCGCAGACAAATATACTACTGACGTTTGGCGCACCACCCTTCGGTTTTTAGGTGTTTTATTTTAACTCATGATTCGGGGACTTTTCCCCCCCACGTTTTTATTTGGATCGCCTTTATTTTTGCCATTCCATGAAGCCTCTGGCTACCTCCTTATTTTTTTATTCAAATAAAAAATATCGTGTATATATGTATACGTGCTGGTGCCTGCCAGATAATGAAGATCGCATCACCTTGTGACCTCCAGGAATCCTAGTCTCGCACCTCGAACCTTGATCTTCTGGCCTACAGGGCTCTCTGCTGCTCTTTCTGTTTCTGAACACTGAAGATCGCTCGCGGACAGAAGCGGGGACGGGGAGGCAGGCCGGGGGTTGTCGAACACTGGGAAAGCGAAGTGAAGTAATGCACTTTTCCATCAGGTTTTGACTGACATTTTTCTTTACAAAGATGGACACACAATGTAGCATCACATCATGAATTTCTGTCCCACTTAAGGCTGTGGACAGGTCAGAGGCTGGCGGGCGTGACCACGCCCCTTTTATGTGAAAGAGGTGGAGCCTTTGAAATGAGGAGGAGGGGCTCTGTGAAGAGGCGGAGCCTTTGAAATGAGGAGGAGGAGGGGCTACGGGAACATTGCTGAAGCCTCGGTTTGGTTTTGGGAACATGATGGCGAAACATCTGCGAAAAGAATCGACCCATTTCTTCTTTTAGTTTCTTAACTTGTACAGACTGTGCAAGGGTGATTTTTTTTTCTTTCCTGTACAGACTAAAATGTTATATTATTTTGTACAACTTTATTGAAAGAGAGTAAAAAATCTACTTGTAGATCTTTGTGCCTTGATTATGGCTGTACCTGTAAATGAAGCTGATACATATGTTTTTGACTGCGCTGTACAGCTTGATGTCACCCCTGTCGGCAGAAGGGACTGTGGATGGGGACCTACTCTGTAGAGTTTAGTTTCTTTTTCGGTTATTTGTTTGTTTTTCTGCTTTGTTTATATAAAAAGAGAAAAAGTTATTTATAAAAAAATATATATATATAGGAGGACTGTGGATGGGGACCTACTCTGTAGAGTTTAGTTTCTTTTTTTTGGTTATTTGTTTGTTTTTCTGCTTTGTTTATATAAAAAGAGAAAAAGTTCTTTATTAAAAAAAAAATAAATATAGGAAAGAAAAATCTTAACCTGTATACATTATGCAAATTGACCCCCTTACCTGCGGTTATGATCGGACGAAACAGCACCATGCCTTTCTTCTAGTTTTTGTTTTCCATTTAATTTCAAGTCTCAGCTTTAAAAAAAAAAAAAAAGTTGACGTGTCCAAAATCACAACCTGGTGTTGTTTTCAAAGACCTTTTTGGATATGAAGTATGTCTGAGAAATATATCCACGTTTGTGTCTGTGAGTGCGTGCGTGTTCACGTACAGGAGACAAACATTGAGCCACAGACGCATGACATTTGTGTTGTGTGTGAGTGTGTGTGTGTGTGCGCAAAAGTGCATTGTGTGCACTCTTTTATAAATGTGCGTACATGTAAATTTATAGGTCTATATAAATATATATGTACAATTCTACATGTTTAATTATGTGTGTGTTGGCGTATACATACTTTAGTATGTATACAGTGAAGATGTGTACTTACATAGGTAAGCATGTCTAGAGTGAAATGAATAAATGAGAGTGCAATATTGAAAGCAACTGTGCGTGTCCGACGATTTTCACCATACACCATACAGACTGAAAGTTTTTTTTTTTTATCATTTCTTTAATATCGATGTTATGTGATATCAGTTTATAATTAGACAGAAGTCTGATTTATAATACACACATCCAAATATACTCTTATTTTGTAAAGCAGAACTTCAAGACGTTTTTATATTTATTCAAATTTTTCTTTTCTTTTATCTGCTGAACACCCTTGGCAGTCCTAATTTATTTTGCTTTTACCAAAACTTTTCAAACCATGTGATCCACCAAAACAATACAAATTATGTTACACATGCAAATTTTGGTTGACAAAATTTGTATTTGTATTTAAAGTTCAAACACATTTAATATATATATATAGTAGTATTACTCCAGTAAATCGCAAAACTTTTTAAATCTGTAAATACTATGTGCTTAAAGTCATATTGCACAAGAAATACTTTTTAAAATAAATCTTCTAAAGTCATTAAATAGATTTTGTGTTATGGTTCTTAAGTCAAGTTCTTAAGTTGCTTTGTCAGTCTACAAAACCCCATACATTCACATTGCAACACTAAAATGCTGACCACATTGAATAGTCTTCAGTGCAGGACGACATATTCAAGATTTCTGATACATTAACATAGACCTCTGATTCAACAAGCCACAGTGCATTACACCAATGAACAGCATATGCAATCAACTTGACAGAAAAAGTTGGTTTGGCTTTTTAGATGTTGAAAAACTCCGATATATATATATATATATATATATATATAGATGTATTGCTGAGTTACATTAATTCCATACAGCATATAAATTACATTCAGATAAAATCTTATTTTTTGAGTCCAAATTTGGATTTCTTGACATACACAAACGCCCTCTTATTTCTTGGAAGTATTTCTTAGTACAGGGATTCTCAGTAGGTCCAATTTCCTACAACTGCACTTTGGTATTTTTAAGACCTGGGACAGTCTTGCGCACTTACTTCCCGTCGCGCGCACACGCTCTCAAGTGGCCAAGACCGCAAGTGTGGGTATTTGGACAAGGGGAGAGTTTAGGTCCAACCCTAATCAAACACACCTGAACAAGCTAATCAAGGTCTTCAGGATTACTAGAAAGTTACAGAAAAGTGAGTTTGATCAAGGTTGGAGCTAAAAGTGGACCTCGAGGGCCAGAGTTGAGAACCTCTGCTTTAGACCAAGGGACTAGACCAAAGGTGTCCAAACCTGTTCCCGAAGGGCCACTGTCCTGCAGATTTACCTACAACACTAATTAAACACATCGGAACCACCTAATCTTCAGTAGGTCTTCAGACTTACTGGAAACTTCCTGGCAACTGTGTTGGGGCTGGTTGAAGATCTGAAGGACGTTGGTTCTCCAGGACCAGGATTCATGTTGTGTCGGACTTGCCGTTCTGAAGCACAGCTGCACATTTGCTCACAGGAACTCTAATAATAGTAATTAGAAAGTCTTCATTAGGTAGAGTAGGATATAAAGGAGTTTGGCAAGTGAATCTTTTGCCTCAACATGGAATGATCTGCTGTCAGCAGAAGCTTTACGACTGAATTACACTCCTAGATTGCAAGATTTTACAGAAGCGTTCCCATTTAAGACTAGGCCTACTTGTATGTCCTGATTTTGCATGCTGGAAACAAGCATCTATCCTGAGTGGTTTCCTCGCGATTACTGCTTCTCAAATGGCTTCTTGCTGATCTGAAGAGTGACCTGTCCGGTGGGCGTGTAGTTGCGGGTTTGTGCGGAAACCTGCGTTTTGAAGCTCTGCAGACCTCCCTCCTTTCCTCTTTGGACCTCGGAGCAGTACGTCGGCTGGACTTCAAGCCTCGCAAAGCTACTGGTATGGCGTGAATAGTTGGATGAAGGTTCTCCCGTCACATGAATGGGTATGGTCTTCTCTCGCCTTGCCTGAGAGCTGCCGCCCGCTGATGAACCTGGACTAAACATGCTGGAAATGTGTTCCTTGAAGGAGCCAAAGAATCCCATGCGAGGTTTTGCCAGTGGACGTACCACGTTCAACACAATGGGTTTGCCAACGACAGGCTCGTTAATTTCTCTCTGCAACACCGAGATCTCACTTGGCTTCTCGACGGGGATGTGATGGTCTGTACTGCTGCCGAACGTTTCACCTGCCTGAGGGACGTAGTCCTCGAGATCTTCAAGAGTAAGAACTCGATTCCCATCAGTCAGCATTTTGCAATCTCGAGCATCAAGTTCGTCATCTTCAGGCTCCACGACAATAGTTCCTTCATCTTCATCAGAGACACACGGGTCACTAATTTCTAATGTTGTCATATTGTCGATCCCTGAAGGTACTTCAGACACATTCTGTGCAGTTTCCTCTTCATCCGTACCAGAAGAAGCTTGCAGAGCCATTGCGGCACCCATTGCCTCTTCTACTAACTTATTGTTGGAGTTATTAGTGTTTGGATTGCCAGGTGGTGACAGCTTGCTGGGGGAAACGCCTCTTCGTCCTGGTAACTTGGGTGATTTGTTCACTTTATACTCGATTATCTCTTCGACTTCTACCCATCTTGGGTTCCTGGCCGTGGCACCCTCCGTCTCTGGAACATACAGTGTCGGTACAGTCTTCCTGGCCAGGGTTCGTCTCTGTCTGGGCGGTTCGGGTGTGGACGTCTCTGAGCGGTGAGCTCCCATGGGCGATGGACGCGGCGATGCATGCCGTTTCATACGGGTGTTCTTCACCACTGTGGTGATGGTCTCCTCACTAGAAGTGGGAAAAGCACATTAGAAGCACATTAAAAGCACATCAGCTTCAGGTTGGTAAGATTTTTATAGTGTTTTTGAAAGAAGTCTTTTATGTTCACCAAGGCTGCATTTATTTAATCAAAAATACAGTAAAAACAATGATTAAATTAAATGATTTTCTGTGTTAATGTATTTTAATATTTAATGTATTCATGTAATGGAAAGCTGAATTTTCAGCATCATTACTCCAGTCTTCAGTGTCACATGATCCTTCAGAAATCATCCTAATATGCTGATTTGCTTTTTAAGAAATATTTTTTTAGGATTCTGTGATGAATAGAAAGTTCAAAACAACAGCATTTAATTAAAATATATTGTGTAACAATCGTGATTGTCACTCGCGTGAAAGAGCGCCGATTTGCCTCCGATTTCGGGCATTTGTCGGCAATTTCGCAAAACCTGTCGGCGAGTGAAAAATTGGGCTAAAATCGTGCAGTGTGAACTCGGCATTACTGTCACTTTTGATCAATGTAATGTGTCCTTACTGAATAAAATTATTAATTTTTGAACAGTAGTGTATTCAATTTGTGCTTATGTGTGTGTATATGAGACTTACATAATTATGGTTTTCTTCGGCATTTTCGTCTCTTGTTCCGTTACTAGTTGGGGAAAAAATAAAAAATTGTAAAACATCTTTTTTTTTAAAACATCAAATTTATTTTCAGTTATCAAATTTCTGTTAATTCATTGCTTTTACCTTCTATACTTATGGCCTGATCTGCTCTACGTTCTCCCGCCATTGCCACAGCAGGAGTGATCAGCTGCGCCGCACACCTGGCACTGCCCAGACGGTTCGACAGCTGCAAATGGAGAATATGATGATCACTGACTTATTTCCTCAGGGTTGGCATAAAGTAAGAACTGAAAGGACTAAAGAAAGAATCTCCATACCTCACACTCATAGTGTCCAAGGTCTCGTTCTCCAGGGTTCTTGATAACTAGAACCAACACTCCACTGCGCGGTTCACTGTATGTCTGAAACTTCTCCAGGTCTGTCAGTAGTTTACCATCCTTAAACCATCTGTCCAGGGAAATGGCATAGTTTAATACTAACTCAATTCATTTAGTCAGTGAAACAGATAACACAAGGAAAGCTGTGTTGGGTTTTTGGAAGTTATTTATGGAACGGCTTGATTTGAATATTATTATATGAATCAACCAGATCTTCTGGGTCATTTTGACTCAATATTTAAACATGGAAATAACATAAATGATAGTGTAAATGAAGTAACTACCTTATCTTGGGACTTGGAGCGCTCTGGATGGTGCAGGTGAACTGAGCATCTTCTCCTGGATAAAGTGTGGATTTCCGGATCTTATTCACAAAACGTGGAGGTACTGCAAAAGGAATAAAAATTAGCTGGAATTTAAACTTATCAAACATCAGCATATTTAAACGAAATGTAAACTTTAATAAATTTTATTATATTAAAATGTTTAATTAAATTAAATGTTACATTAAATTAATTATTAAATTCTTATAAAATGAAATAATTATGATTAAAATCTTTTCACAATGGAGATGGAGTGAAACCCGCTTTACTAAGTTGGATACATTAGGTTGCTCACTCACCCTGCACAGTGATTTTGCCTAGTGTGCTGGCGTTGCCCGCAGAGCTGGTGGCAAAGCACATGTACTGGCCTGAGTCGTCTGCCGTCATGTTGTCCAAAATCAGTGTGCAAGAGCCGTCTGGGTCCTCAATGATGATGTGATGAGGATCCGCTTCCACGGCACGCCCGTCTGTTTGTGAATCAGATGGAGGAATTACTTAACTTCTAAGAAGTCATCAAGAGGGGAAACACCCGAGATTTGGTTCTTTACCTTTGTACCAGGTGACCTGTGGTTTGGGGGCACCAGTGATCTTGCAGGCGAGCTTTACCGTCTGTCCGAGCTCCGCTGTGCAGTCTGTCAACACTGTGTCAAAATCTGGAGAGCCTGTAATAACAAGTAAAATGCTAAATATTAGGACTAGGGTTTATTTTTAGGCAGCGGCTATTTGCACTAAGTGTAAATAGCGATAGAGGCTATTTACACTAAGTGCAAATAGCAATAGATGCTATTTACACCAAGTGAAAATACCTACCCTAAAAAAAATCTGGAGAGCCTGTAATAACAAGTAAAATGCTAAATATTAGGACTAGGGTTTATTTTTAGGCAGCGGCTATTTGCACTAAGTGTAAATAGCGATAGAGGCTATTTACACTAAGTGCAAATAGCAATAGATGCTATTTACACCAAGTGAAAATAGCATATTTTCTTAGCGATAGATGCTATTTGCACTAAGTGCAGATAGTGATAGATTCTATTTAGACGAAGTTAAAATAGCAGGATTTTCTGCTAAAAGGCGGATTCGAACCCGGGTCGATCGCGTCAAAAAGACTACAATACGCGCTATACCATCTACACCACTGAAGCTGTTCTGCTATTTATACTACTTATTGCAAATAGTGGCAATGATCTGCACCTCAGTATTATAGTACATTATAAAACAGTATGCAGTAATTATAATTTTAATTCAAATTATTAAATGGATGCCACCTTATTGGGAGAATGAAGCCCTCCCTACACCTACCCTATCCCTATCACACGTTTGTGGGTGGAGCTAGTGTAAATAGCTTCTGCCAACAAGGTGGGCTATTTGCACTTAGTGTAAATAGACACTCAGTTATTTTTATTGTTTTTGTGTTTTCTCTTTTTGCCACTTGCTGCAGGGATGATATATTTTTGTATGCCAAAATGCATAAACAAGTTAGCATAACTGTTTTTGGCTAAGCACCTGAAATAAGGTCTGGTGTTAACATGAGATCAAGATATTTTCAAGTTTTATTCTACAACGTAAAACGTCATCAAACTGAACAGGTAAACTCATCTTCTCAGTAGTTCGCTTTTACAGCTTCGTCGTGTTAATAATTGTGCTCTTGCAAACTATTCTAACTCAAACTTTCCAACATGAAGATTTAAAATAAAGTTTAAAGAGTTGTTAGAAGCTTAGAGGTGTTGACGTGGTGTTGTTTGTTTATAGCATAACTTTAGCTTTTTACTTTTGGCAACTGTATTAGGCTTCAAAAGGCTGTATTCATTTGTGAAGATTATCAAAGCATGTCCAAATCATAAACTTTCACTGGTCCCAGAGCTTATTTTCTGTAATAATCCAATAAGACAATGACAAAACCTTATTGGGTTTTCTGGCAGGAAGCAGGCTCAAGCTAACTTCTGAGTTGGCCTACAAAAATATGTCTATGTGAGCAATGTATTTATCATGCTAATGTTGGCAACTTACTCCAGGCTGGCATGCTGTAGCGCTGCTGAAGGTCACGGAGGTCGCGGAGCCATGAGTTCTTGATGATAACAGTCCGCGCCTGCAACGTGTATTTTCTCACGGAGTCCTCGCGCTCATGCCAGATCTCAAATGCTCTCTCATCACCCTCAACTGTCTCGTTCACGTCAATGTTTGTGAGCTAAAGACAAAAATTTGGACAGTATTTGCTTTTGAATTATTTGGCTTTTGAATAATCAGCATTGGCCTTAGTAAATATTGTGTTAAATATGTGCATCACTTAATTTCATTTAAAAAGTCATTTAAAAGCTTCTGCAAAGCTCCAACCTTCATCATATTCTTGAACACATATGCTTGGATGTCTGTATTAGTGTCTCTCTTCTGTTTGCATATGACCACATGGTTTTTGAAGAGGAAGACGTGGCGGTGGTGACCTCTGGAAGATGTTCGAATTCCAGGAGCTCCTTCCCAAACAGTGAAGGGCCCCTGTAGAAAAATCCAGAACTTTTTTTTACACTTTGATTTGAAAAGTTTTTAAATTTACTACAAGTAGGTGAAACATGTAAGAACACTTAATCACAAAGCAATTATCCAGTACCTTAAATGGCGACATTTGAGTTTAGGGATTGTACCTGTCTAATAGGTTCTCCCAGCGCCTCCAGATTGGCGGGGTAGTTCTCTATGAGTGATACATGGTGTGTGTTTTCTGAGCGCTGGGAGAGGGACGACACCATGGCATAGGCCTGCTCCAACAAACAGCAGTTCTGACCGTTCCTCGCTTTATTCCGGATCAATTCCTAGAGTAAAATCATGGGAAATATGGAAATGTGTTGGTCACTATCAAATGTTAGTGAAGAGATATATCACATAATACATAACACAATTTCTAAGCACATATTTATATAAATTTTTAGCATTTTGAAAGTGGAGATTGCCTTCACCTGGACCTTGAAAAATGAGTATTGTGGTATTTAAGTATTTATTACCTTCAGTAAAGCCCTGTACTTCTGAATTCTCTCCGGTGGTCTCTGAAGGTAAGCATTGATGCTTAGCACTGGACCTTCTGAGGGGTCAACATTTGCCAACTCTGATACTGTATAATCCTAATGAAAAATTACATAAAACATGTTCTGTCTTCTGAATACCACATTATTTTTACATACAAAGAAAAAAAATCACAAAGATTAAAAGTCACTTTTTTCTAATCCAGTTTTTATGCCCCCAGAAATCCATCACTATGCTGTCAATAATTTGTAAACCCACCTTGAAATACTGGTGCACTTTTTTCTCACTGATGGCGGACTCAGCTTGCAATTGTCCAATGAAGTACTGCAGATATTTCTCAAACCCTTCAGAGTTTCTCAGGAAATGCATGGCAGTGTCATCATCTGTGTCACAATCACGCAGACCAGGCAGCAAAGAGCTGGAAAACAGTCAACTTCATTATGTATTTCCCTGTTGTCACATCTGTATGCCAAGACTAGCATATAAATGAAAACAATTCTTTACATATTCCTTAAAAAGGAAAATTGTAGATGCAGAGTTGAATGAAGTACTGCAGATATTTCTCAAACCCTTCAGAGTTTCTCAGGAAATGCATGGCAGTGTCATCATCTGTGTCACAATCACGCAGACCAGGCAGCAAAGAGCTGGAAAACAGTCAACTTCATTATGCATTTCCCTGTTGTCACATCTGTATGCCAAGACTAGCATATAAATGAAAAAATTCTTTACATATTCCTTAAAAAGGAAAATTGTAGATGCAGAGTTGTAGAATTAACCATAATATCTGACTGCCTGAACTCTGTACCTGCTGTGGAAGGATTTCAAATCATTGATATTACGGAAGATGGTTTCCTTCTGGGTGGCGATTTCAGGTGGTGTGCTCTCCTCCTCCACACGCTTCAGATGGTGTGACGTGAAGAACTCCATCTCCTTCAGAAACTCAGTTTCTGTGCTGATCAGCTCTTGGACAAGTTGACTAGATACATATGAAGCCGAGGTAGAATTACTAAAGTGGTACGATATAAAATGCACATTGCACTTCACTTAATGTATCCAAATTTACCAGAGTTTCTTCTTGTACTCTGTCTCTGTGACTTCTTCTCTAGTGGTCTCTGGGAGGTCTGCTATGTCTGCAGACAGCTACAACACAACCATCCCCTCATTAGTAAGAAATTATGAGACACACAACCCTATAAAAAGCTATCATTACATTTTGTGCATTTTAACCCTAATGTCAAAATTTAAAATCAATATTTCACCACTAGGTGACCAGTTATCCATTTTGAATGAACCTAAACTGACCTTCAGTCTTTTGTCGAGATACGCAGGCGAGACCCATCCCTGGCGAGATGGGTTGGATTTGGTGGGCTTGGTGCGGACAAGCCATTTAAGTGGATGGGCAGAGTCCAGAACCTCCACATACTGGCCCTCTTTCAGAGCGATGGCATCTTTACTGACCCCCATGGGGTTGTAGTCAGCAGTCACAACGAAGATATCAAACATCTGCACAGATGCATTGAGATAACAGAGCATTTGGAAAATGTGACTTGCCCTCTTCACCCTTGAGAATACGAGAACGCTCTGGATTCTGCTTTCAAATATCCTTCTGTGAACTGAATATTATGCTTAACTCACATAAAAATAATATGAACTACAGAATAATGATACCAACATTACACATCCATTTTTATTTCCTCTTTTCAATAAATGGTAAATGAATGTATTCAAATTCTTATGTGAACAGAATAGCAAAAGATCTGACACAGTTACATTAGTTATAATAATAACATTCGTTTGTTGATGACACTGAGAGTGTGATATTTGTAATACCTCTCCCCTGGCATCTCCTTCATCTGACTCGGATGATGAGTCTGCGATCAGAGATGGCGGGCGCGATCGGCCGTGATATGGAGATGGAGATGGTGTTTTTGTTTCATCATCGCTGTCAGCTCCTGGGACACGTAATGAAGCTAGAGGCAGACAGAGACAAAAGGATAGAGGAAGAAAGAGGTATTGTGTCAATCAATTAGTGTCACAACAATGTTTAAGTATCATGTTTGACAGCATGGGCTTTAGCATCACATTTGCTCAGATGATGATAATCAATTAAAAAATCAACATATTCAGACACATATTCAGAATGTAATTTGAAAATATAAATCTGGACAAAAAAAATAGCAAGGAACTCCAAATGTTATATTGTAAGCAAACATTTCAAAGTCAAAATGAAAAATATTTACACTGTACACATCTTTAACATGTACTTCAGAATTTGGTTTAAATGGTTTTCAAAATAAAAACTTGATATAGGCTTATTAACATCCTTAACAATGGTGTTTGTGTGATCATTTAGACATGATTTATCTTTACTTTACAATGGTTCCCAAACTGCAGCACGCCAACATACATAAAATGTAACATTACACTACTGCCGTTTAAGTAATCGCATGTGTAGATTTAATCTCGCGATAACAAAAAAAATAAAAAAAATAAAAAAAAGTTTCCGCTGTGAAATTTAACCGCAGTTTCAAAAATACCGCGTACTGACAGAACATACAGTTATTAAGGCTACGGTAACCTCCGTACTACTGAAACTCTCTCAAAAAACGTGCATTTGCTCAAAAGTCAGAAAGCCCGAAGAGATACAAAGAGGTGGAAATATGGATTTGGAAATTATCTCTCGCAAATGGATGCTGAGCATGATTTATGAGGAAAACGGTCCCAGTTTCGATGACCTAAAGTGAAGGTAAGCAGCAATAATCGTTTACTGTACTGTATCATGTTTCTCCTGCGATTTGACGTGCATTATATCATGCTTGTGTAAAAATAAAATTGTGCCCACACAAACACTAATGTAATGCTCGTGCAACTCCATACATCTAAATGAATATGTCAGCGAGCGTTCATCAATTTTCTTTGTGTATACTGAAACAGAAAAATTAGAGTCTGCTTCCACTGAATTTAAGAATGTCCAGTTTATTTTGAATTGTGACAAATGGCCCTGATTTTATAGAACTGTAACTTTATTACCACTAGGCAATACTTGCAGCATTTTTAACATTATTGAAGATCTTAAATTCATTCCTTTTTAAAAATGTTAAAAATTTAAAAATGTTGAGAGCCAAAGAAACAGACAAGCAAAGTGATTAACAACAGCATAGCCTCATGGAGAAAAAGGCAAGGTTCTGGTATGTTACACTGGAGGTTCTGCGGATACATACTGGTTACTTTGGGCCAAGATTTCATCCACTGGAGCACTTGATGGTTCTGTAAGCTGTCTGAACAAATCAATGCTTCAATGAGAATGTGAGTGAATAGAGGGATGAGAGGATGGATGGATAGTTTGATGGATAGACAAAATAATGGAGTCAGTGAGCTGTGTAGGAATTGAGGGATCCAGAGAAATGTTTTTTTTAATTTTTTTTATAAAAAAACAAAAGTGAGGTTCAGGAAAACACATAGAATGTGTTCATTAAACATTTCCAGAGTATAATTAATTATTTAAAACAGTGAATTTGCAACAGGTGTACGCCATTTCAGTACTCAGTACATCCTGTGACATAAATTCAAAGCATTTGAGCACATGCTAAACTCATTCAAAAACAGTGCACACTGTTTTAAGTGAATATTAGGATGCATCTGCTGAGAAAGACTACATTAGCAAGATAAATAGTTATTAATAGTGCAAATAACATACAATAAAATTGAAATCAAGAAGGCTAATTTAATTTTAAAAAAGTAGTACAGTATAAATAGTACATACATATTGTAATTCAGTCCGGCAGAGCAGATTACAAAAATATTTAGCTCAGTATTATTGACTGAAAAAAAAGAAAGAAAAGACAGTGTTTTCTCTTACCTTGAGTAATCCTGGCAGATACCATTTCTGTGATTTGGGTTGTGAGTTTTTGTAAGAATTCCTCAGTACCCACTTCACCCAGGGAAGGTAGTTTGATCTCTCCTGAGATGTGATCACAGTAATTATTTTGTTGCAGATTATTTGACAAATATTTGATGGCAGTCACTCTGATATAATCTGTCAGTGCATTGATAGTAAACAAAAGTAGTAAAAAAAAATAAATAATAGAACATCAATATCAAATATTCACCTTTGCCCTTTTCCTCTGGTGGGCTGATAGTAATTCCCAGAACCCTGAAAAAAAAACATCTAAATCTCTAAAACTTTAAAATGTTTAAATGTTTAGATTAATAAAAGTATCTAAATTGACAGCTGTATGCTTTTATATTTACACTTACTCTGGCCCCACTTTCTTTTGCTCTGGTGCTGTTGGACAGAAAAGTAAGCATGATAAAAAAGGGTACGCATACCAGCCATAATCTTGGTATAAAAAAAATAATATAAAAAAGAAGTCATGTGATTCTGACATCACTACTGTTAATAACTGAACCATGAGTTTCTAACCTGTCTCCACATCCAGTCGGGCTGTGTTGACTGACTGTCCAGCACGGTTGGTGGCGATGCAAGTGTACATGCCGCCATGTTTTTTTTCCACTTCCATGAGGATGAGACTATGTTGACGGCCAGAGCTGGCCACCTTGTAACCTGTTGTGTCTGCCTTGATCCACAGAACATCCTTATCTGACACTTCCTTTAACCAGTTTACAGATGGGGTTGGGGAGCCTGTGGAAGACAGTAACTTGGCTTTATATATTTCATCTTTTGTAATGTGCAGCTGAACGTTATGCCTAATGCTTTGGTCTATTTCTCAAAATTGCATCTAAAATAATTTTCTTGGTATTTTATTTATTGTGGTAACACCATACCTTCCACTTTGACTGACAGCGTTATACTCGCTCCCTGTTTCACCTTCTTGTTGCTGAACCTCTCCAGGAAGCGTGGTGGCACAAGTGGCACCTTTGAATCTATTTGTGGAAAAATACAAGTGGCGTAGTAAATGACATGCATGCATAATCTTTCATATCAATACTTCAAATTTCAAAATGCATTTGCATCTTACATCATGTGGAACAATGATTCATAATCACATGTGCTGTATGCAAGATGTTTACCTCTCATTCGTCCCTGTTCAGGTGCTGGGCGCTCTCCAGGAGCTAATTAGTGAATGTAAACAAAGAAACAAACAGAAAAACATGTTAGAATTGATTTAGCACATTTAATTTGGGAAACAATTTAGCTGTAATCACGTTTAATAATTTCTAATTTCAACACTCTTCCATTTCCTGTCACAGTCTTACAAAGACCCAATGCAAGCGACATATAGAGTTTAAGTACAAAAGGAACATTTACCCAGTAAATTCAGTCGTGCTGAAGAGTAGGCAGAGCCAGCTATATTGCTAATGTATGCTGAGTATTCTCCAGTGTCCTCGCGCTTAACATCCAAAATCTCAAGACTGTGTTGATCTCGCTCAGTCGACAATACAATTCTGCTGGAGGCTTGAAGTGGGGTGCCGTCTTTGAACCAGTAAACCCTTGGTGTGGGAAATCCTGCAGAAAGGCATTGAACATGAAACTGTGTTTGCCACCCATATTACTTCTGCAAATGCAACAGCTGAAAGTTACAGTAGACTTAGATGCAAAACAATGTGAATATTTATTAGGAATATAAACATGTTCATAAAAAGGATTTAGGACATTAATGTCATTATGGTTAGAGCGACTAGAGTTGAATAGATACAACAGGTGCAGATGCAAAAAAGAAAACACTTGGAATAAATAGTGCATAAATAATCAGAATACAGATAAAATAGAATTTGAAATGAAACAGAATTTGCATCCATGGAAAAAAACAGCTGACCTTTGACCCTGACACTCATTTTGGCAATGGGTGCTCCAGGACTGAGGAATAAATCATGTAACTCATCCACAATCTGAGGAAGCTGCTCGTCTTCTGCCACAGACTCAAAAGCCTCTGTGTCCCTGTGCTCCGAGCTAAAAGAGCAACCCAAACACAAGAAGAAGCCCATTTAGAACTAGCATGAAATTTAAATCAGAGGTTTGTTCTGGCAGGCTTTGAGCTAAATCTATTTTATCCCTGTAGTACTGACATAAAATGTCATAAAAATCACTTTAAATTAAATTACTGAATCTTACCTAGACACATAACCTTTAGCACTGACATAGGAAGACGTCTCTGTGGCATCAGCTGCTGTGTCATAGTCTGAGCTACAAGACACTTTAAACATACACAAGACTGAATCAATAATCAAACAACATGAGTCTTGAAATCTTGAGTCTTTAAGAAGAGTATAAAATAAATACCCCAAAATAAAAATGGTCATCATTTACTAACACTCAATATTCAAACAACAAATCGACAAAAATGCAGAAAACAGATTAAATGACCTCTAATTAGTTCTGAATATCAAAATATATACACATATTAACCGCATTCATCTTAAGCATGTTGAGAATGTAGGCCTAGAGCATTTTTAGGCCATCTAGAGACAAACAACAACAATGATAAAACACATGCAGTCACATTCTTACACTTCACAGATGCACCGGTAAAAGAAAGTGCCATCTTTGTTCAAATGTTTCAATCTGGGACGCCATTTTGCTCTCTTGTCTACATTTGTGAGTTTTTGGTTTTGATTAACACTTTCTTTTAACAGTGTACTCACTGTCCACCCTCAGCTCAGCCTTGCTGGAGGCGATGCCACTGTCATTTTCAGCCATGCATCGGTACACGCCCATGTCTGTGGGCAGCACAGCTGTGATGATCAGCTGGTGATGGCCTTCCTGGTCTTCATTGATCATGTAGTGGTCGTTTTCCTCCAATATCTTTCCATCCTTGAACCATCTCACAGTGGGAGGGGGGTTGCCGACAATTACACAGTCAAAACTGACTGGAAACCCATCAGGAACATCTTGGCTACGGAGCTCCGTCAGGAAGACGGGGGCCGCTGGGAGGTTGGTAGGTGATTAAGAGAACAGTGAAGAGCAAACAAAACCGCAAAGAACAGAGCATAGCAATACTTTTGAGGAAAAATGCTGAACCAGGCGAAAACATGACATGCCATCACTTTAAGATCCAAAACAAACAAGTCACAACATTTTTTGTACATTTCAAAAGTGCTGCCCTATAATGACAAACAAAATCCAGCACTGAATCATGTAACATTATAAAGAAACAAACAAAAGTAGCAAAAACATTTATAGTAAAACCACATGGAAGAAGTATCATACCAGGGGCTCCTGTCATGAAAGCAGGCATCGGTAGGTCCTGAGTTGGGGTTTGGGAGCCATCTTGGGAGAGACTCATCTTTGTGATACGCAGCTCTACCTTAGCACCTGCTGCTGCTATGATGGCCGTTTCAATGGGAACTCCTTGATAAGTAAACATTTCCTGGAAGCGCTGGGAAGCTACTTGAGCTTCTGCACGGTTATCAAAGCGGATGTAGATATACTGATCGTCTTCCCGGTAAGTCTGTAGATCCGGTGGCGGTAAATCTCCTTCATCCGCACTAACAAAAGGTTCCTCTTCCACATCCGGAGGGAGGCGAGTACGAAGAAGTCGCTGTAATCGTTTACTTGCTTGGCGTAAAGTCTCATCCATCTCACTCCCTGAGGAGCTCTCAGCTTCACTATCTGCACTGTAGCCCAGAGCGAGGGGGCGTCGCCCAGAAGATTCCCGCAGCGACCCTACAGTGACTTTGCCACTATGGGTGGAAACACCAAACTTATTGGTTACTTCACAAGTATATACACCCGTGTCTTTGGTTGTGGCAGCAGTCACTACTAGAGAGCAGGTGCCATCATTATAGATGTCAATGTGATGGTGCTTGCCATCTGTTAAGGGTTCACTATCTTTCAGCCAGCGAACTTTATCTGGCTTACCCTCCACAATGCACTCAAGATGAATTGTCCCATTGGGCTCCTTAGTCTGATCCTTGAATGCTTCTTTGAAGACTGGTCGCATGTCCTTCCTGGCTTTATAACCTTTGAAGGCTGCCTGAATCTTGACAGCAGCCTCTTGCAACTCATCCCCATTCTGAGCTTCCATAAGGGGCTCCACAGATGCCTTTGTAACTGATTGCTCAGTCATCTGGAAGTGCTCATACAGTTTCATGGAGGCAATAGTCTCAGTCATAGAGGACTTGCTGCTTTTCTTAAGGTAAGACACCAAGCTTGTTGTCCCACTGAGAGATTCCTCATCAGAACTTGTATAGAGATTAGGCTCTGCTGTGATCTTGGGAGTTGGCTCAACAGGTCTCACTTCCTTTTCAGGTACTTTTCCTTCTTTGCTCTGGACCTTTTCTTTTCCATCTTCTTCTGGCAACTCTGAAATTGAATCTAATGTGGGCTCCCGACTCATTCTCCTCTTCTTGGCCACTGCATCCCACAGAGCATGCAAATCTCCCTCAGAAGCAGCCTCAGGAGGCAGTTTGGGCTGGCTGCCCGCATCCTGAGAAAGTGTCGTGTCATCTCCTGTAATCAGGTAGCCATCATAAATCAGTCTCACCCATGGTACCATTTTTATGTTGGAAAAAAGTTTATATTAAATATATCAACAATTTGTCTCTGCAACAGCAATTTGACTGTAATGAAACTCGGGTATATTGTGAGGAGCTTAAAACATTAAATGCACTTCTGCACATGAAAAGAAAAGATACTGAAATATAATGTAATGGTTGTAGTAACATTTACAAATATTTAGTACTTGTTGGAGAAAACACTATTTTGACATAACAGTCTTATTGACATGCACATGACAGTAACCTGAAGAAGTTGGAAAGAGACAGGAAAAATATATTTGGACACTGTAATCTCGTAATGAAGAAAATCATAAAGTAGCAAAGTTCCAAACACTGTGACCAAGACATACACAAATAAACAACAATAGTAAGTTAGATGTGAGGTTAAGCGAAGTAAAGTACCTTCGAGGTTGACGTTGATTGAAGTCTTTGCCTCTTCTGAGGCTACACAAGAATAGACACCCTGGTCTGTAGACTGGAAATCCTTTATGAGCAAAACTTGGCTCTTTCCTTCTGCTACCATTTGGTACTTGACCCCAAACTCTATCTCTCTGTTGTCCTTGAGCCATGTGATTGATTTGCTCTCTGTAGAAAGTTCACACTCTAAACGAACCATCTTTCCTTTTTGGATCTTAGAGCTGCTTAACATTTTGGTCATGGTCACTGGTGCATCTGAAGACCAAAGGTCCATTCAAAGAACAGTGAAAGAAATGTAGCAAGAATTCAATAAGAACAAATACAAATACAAAATACACTTGTTTAGAGTATAGTTTTTAGTGTTCTACTACTACTGTAGCATCTAGGGCAGAGTTCTTCACTCCTGGTCGTAGAGAGCCACTTTCCTTCAGAGTTTAGTTCCAGCTGTGATCAAGGTTTTTGGGTCTACTTTAAAGTTATAGCCAGGTGTTGTTGGAGCACGATTGAAACTAAACTCTGCAAGAAAGTAGCTCTCTGGGACTAGAAGTGAGGAACCCTGATCTAGGACAGACTGCTGATAGCAAGCCTTCTATATGGACTCATGGAGGCAGTTTGGTTAGATGAAAAAACAATGTACTCACAATGTACTCTATAAGGTTGCTTTCAATAAATTTGTTATTTCTGCAAGTATCCACTTACCGAGTGTCACGGTTTGAGGCAGCTGGACAGGCTCTCCAATACCAGCATGGTTAATGGCTGCCACTCTGAACCTGTAACCTGCCCCCGGTATGAGGTTTTCAACCAGAAATTCAGTGTTGCACACTGGTTCTGTGTGGCAGGGCAGCCAGAGGACACTGTCCACTAGACGCATTTCCACACGGTAACCAATGATTGGGCTTCCTCCATCACTGAGGGGTGTGAACCAAGACAAGGTGACGAACGTTGGGCCTTTACTAACCAGCTCTGGGTCTTCAGGGGGATCAGGCACAGCTATAAATATCCAGACAAAATGAAAAAAAAAAATGTTATACAATAAGCATAATAGCAGAAATTATAATGAACGAGACACAAATGAGGACCCTTACATATTGTGATGAGTTTGGCCATTGATAAGGCATCCCGAGCTGCAAATGTGATTTCCTGTGTGGGCTGAGCCTGGGCTTTCTTCAAAATTAGGCTGTAGGAAGAGCCACTGGCTCTCATGGCCCATTGGTCATTACATTGAAGCTCAACACCATTTGCATACCAAGTCACTTCACTCTCAGGCACAGCTTCATTCAAAACACAAGTGAACTCAACTTGCTCTCCTGCAATGGCGGTCTTATCTTCCAAAGGCTTGACCACCTCCAGTTGCCAAGCTGTACAGAACAAATCCATAAATACATTTCCATTTATGCATTTAGCTTTATATTTAATATATCCTAAAACTGCAGCATGAAACTAATAACAAAATAGTAAATAAATAAAGCTATACCATTTAAAGTAGAAAATGAACTGCATCTTTATTCAAAATATAGTCATGACCTATAAAACTATAGCTGTCATTTTCTTTGATAAAATATGACGTAACACTTTTTATTTAATGCTAATACAACAGAAATTACGTACCTTTGACAGACAGAAGAGCAGTAGTTGATGAAGTGCCAGCTTGGAATGTAACCCTTGTGTTTTCACAAGGATGCAAGTCCTTTAAAAGCAGAAGATGACGTCTGCCACTCTCAAAGGAAACAATCTCCACTTTTGCAGACTCCTTTACAGGCTTGCCATCGATTAACCACCGGCAGTCTTTGGTTTCAGGACGAGACAAGGAGCATTCAAAAAGTGCTTCCCCACCATTAATGGTCTCCACGTTACTCAGCTCTTGAAGAATATCAATTGGTTTAGCTGCAAGAGAGATAATGCCTGAAAAAACACTGGCTTTATACACGCCAAGTCGCTGTAGTACACAATGACTTTCACTGACCTTGAATTCAAAACAATTCTTAAACTTAAAACAGTAACACAATCACACTCAATTAACAATTCTTCCAACATTTCACTAGCATATAGCATCCAGCATTGAGTAGCATAAGAAACAAAGGTAGCTGTGATAAAAGCACATGATGGTTACTGCATAGCCAGCCAGATGATGATGATGTTGCTAAAAACAGCAATTTTTGGCTCGAGTAAAAAAAAATAAATAAAAAAAAATCCCAGTAAAACTCTTTGTGGTAAGCCCTTACTTGTGCAACTTATAACTTTATATTTCTCAAAGTCTTTGCAAGTCTTATACGAGTCTTTGTGTATGAATGACACACAGATTCTCTTTGTCTACAGGTGTGCTCACCTTGCACCCTGAGATGTGCCACAACAGAAGTTCCTTCTGCCTCACAGGAGTACATCCCCCCATCCTGGGGCTCCACACAGCTAATGTACAACCGCGCAACAGTCCAGTCCTGTTCCACTATCACCCTGCGACCGTCTGCTTGCACAGGTATGCTGTTTCGCTTCCATACGGCCTTGACTGGCCGGGAGTACTGACAGATGAACTCTGCAGGCTGGTTTTCTGCTACATGTTGGTCCTCCATGGCACTGACCACCTCCACATTAGGATCTATAGAGGGTTGGTGGTTGGGATAAGTAATATAAGACCCCAGTGCACTTTGAAGTAGAGTTCTTCACCTCAAGCCTCTTTCAGGTTTTGGGTGATATTTAATGTAATTTAAAACTAAAACACGAGCCTGGTGCTTTATTCAGTTTAAAACAGCAGCCTTTAAAACCTCACAATCTTAAGTCAGTGCTGTAGCTGTTTCTTTTTCTTTCACTTAAAAGTACTGAAATGTACATGTAAGTGTAACATCTTTTGCTTCTCTACTCCAAACTGACCAAGGACATGGTCAATTACAACCAGCACATGCCTAGTTGCAGTGTCAAGTCAAAGTAAGGCCAATTTATAAAAAAAAAGTTCATGCAGCACAACGAACAGTGAAGACTGATGAGTGTACAATTATCTGATTTAGAGTGCATGCAAGACAATTATTGTTTGCTCTTTGAATTTTTGGGCAAAAGGTTGCTTGCATAATTTCACTTAGATGCTTTGGCGCATCCACTAGGGCTTCAGTTTTATACATTTCTACCTCAGACAGATTAACAAACTGAATTGTAAAATGTATGCTGGGATAGTGATAGGCTGCATGTCCAATAATATGCAAAATAACAAAACAGACAAACAATATATTGACTTCCAAAGACACTTATTTGTGATGAATAATCTTATGTTTTTGAATTTAAATAATTTGAATGATTCATTTGGGAGTTTTCTCAGAAGAAAAGTGGCAGTAGAAAAATCTTCGTGTTGAGCCCTGGTCCATATACAAGCCCAAAATCAGTTTACTAATTTAATAATTAGTATGCCAACTTTGTAAGTAATTAGCAAGCCGTGATATTGCAGCCAAATCTACTGTTTTAGGTTAGAAACCAGAACGGGTCTTCTTGAAACCCATTTGTGTTCACTTTATCTTCAGTCATGTTGATAAAATTAAAACAAAAAAAGTCACAGGCCTACAAACCCGTTTACCTTTAACAGTAAGGGTGGCGCAGCTTTCTGCATCTTTGGTTTTGCATGTATACAGCCCTGCATCTCCTTCCTCCACCCTAAGGATGCGGAGCTGATGGACGGCTCTATCCTTGTAGAGCAGATACCGCCCCCCTGCCTTTATCATCGCTTCATCTTTGTACCAGCCGACAGAGGCCTCAGGGTCAGAAGTCATGCAGGACAGTGTGACTGTTTGACCCTCTTTGGCAGTTAAGTCCAGAGGCTTCTCTAAGAATACGACTATGGACAGGAGAAACCCAAACCCAAGTGCTGTCACATCATAATGTCTGCCTGAAGACTCTGAAACTTAAGACACTTGAAGCCATTGAACATATACTGTGGTACATTAAAAGAGCTTTACTGAGTGAAAAACTCATGTTTTAGCAATTAAGGGCAGGAATTAGAGAAAAGATTATGTCTGAACCAAAAATTGATGAAAACTACATCTCTTCCTCAAAAAACACAATGTTGGAGTGTAGCTGTAGAATGGCCAAAGCAAATGGAAAAGCAGCTAGAAGCCTTTTGTTATAATTGCGCAAAATGAGTGCAACTACTACCTAATTACAGACAGAAGTTTGCTTGCCAACAATGAGCGCTGTTAGCCATAATGTGTCTTTTACCTTTGGGTTTCTCCTGCACCAACAGGTAGGCGATACTCTTCTCAGGGCCAACCACAAAGGCTACATCACCTGAATCATCGGGTGTGACCATTTTCAGCACTAGGCTGTGTTCCCTCCCTCGGCAGCTGATTTGATTCAAGTCATTGTTTTGAAGGTGGTTGGAGCCGAGCCACCACTCAACATTCGTAACCCCTGTATGGGACATCTCACACTGGAAGATAGCATCCTCGCCCGTTATCACAGTCACATCCTTTAATTCTCTTGTGATTTTTACACATTCTGGGAATGGATGAAAGGAACGTGATGAAAAGGGACTATTGAGGATCTTCCGAAAAGTCAAAAGAGGTAAATATCCCACTACCGACTATCTACTAGAAGTGACTTAGAATGTGAGAGGATGTATTAATCCTACAAACAGTGTAGTTTATTATTAAAAACTTGGGATTTTGTTGTGACATTCCAGTTAAATCCCAAGAATGGAGGAGAGCATCATTCTATCTTAGTTCACTGATGTTTGCTTTACATACTACTTGGATCATGCCTGAGTGACAATATAAAAAGTAAAAGCTACTCAATGTATTCATAATTTGAATGCTAATACTAATATGTACTCTTGCTTCTGCAGGGGAACAGTGTAAAATGGAACCCATCTTTAAAGAAGAATCAAGAATTACCTTTGACGGTCAACATAGCTTTGCTTCGTTTGTCTCCTGCTTCACATATGTACTCGCCACCATCGTCCACTGATAGCTTATGGATTTCCAAGGTTTGGAATATGCCATCCTTCTTTATGGAATACTTCTTTCCATCAGATAGGACCTGAGTGTCCTTCTTCCAGGTCACATTGGCATCAGGGATTGAAGTTTCACAACATAATGAGGCACTGGCTCCCTCTGTGACTTCCTGGCTTGTTAACTCCTTCACAAATGATAGCACAGGGATTGCTGGCGGGAAACAGTGATACACAGAACACATTCTAAGATATGTGCAACACCCCAAACCTGCATATTAGAAGATCATGAGATGGTAATAAATTTTCTTCGTAGTTTCTAAATGCAGCCAGGGACAAGATAAGCCTAACCTTGGAATGCTTGAATCAGAAATTATGAAACTTTTTGAAGCACTTCTGTTACAGACAAAATTAATCACTGATAAGGAAAAAGGAATGAAGAATAGTCAACCTTCTAAATGTAATATCCAAACAAATAAAACTCATTATACTACCAAACAATGGTCAAGATAAGACAAATATTTGACAAGTGAAGATTAAACAGATAACATACATGCATGAAATGTTGTGCTTTCATTGTGGTGTAGATAAAGTGGCTGGTCACAAGTAATGTTTTTGCAATATGATGCGTTAAAGCATGCATCAAAGAATAATAAATGCAAGATATATTACATACATGGAATGTATTGAATATATTTATATGGATATAGGGTGATCACACACACAAACACTAAACACATGCACTAACAGTACATGTGTTCGAAACCCACCTGTGAAATAAAAGGTGTGAAATATAGCAAACTACTACTTAGAAAATCCAAATAATTCTTTAGTTTTACCTTTAACTGTAAGACAAGCAAAAGAAGTGTGTGCACCAACATGGAAGGACACCGTGCCCGAGTCTTTCTGGGTGACACTTCTTAGTGTAAGTGTGTGCCTTTTGCCTTCCATTCGGATTTCATTCATCTCATTGTTCTGTAGTGGAACGTCTTGCAGCGTCCACTGAACAATGAGTGCATTGTCATGAGAGACAAGGCATTCGAAATGAACGTCCTCGCTTTCATTGACAATGCAGCTCTTCAAGCCAGTTAAGATCATGATTTCAAGTTCTGAAAGCAAAATCAGGTTTCATTTTATCAGAAGTAGACAAGTCAAAAAATAGATAAATTTCCACAGTATCAATTTAACATCCATAATAATCTAAGTCTTTTCAACTAAATTCACAGCAGGTCATGACAGAAATAGCTATCCTTTATATAAAAATAAATGTTAAACTGCTAAGGGAAAAATGTATAATGTTATGTATATTGCATAAAAACTCTACTTAATCTAGCAGAATGAAATAGGAGTGCATTGAAGAAAGGTTGTGCAAGGTTTAATGAAATTTTATGTGCAAAACCACGTGCACAGAGAAGGTGGTACAAGCATACCATAAGAAAGGATGATTGGCATAGTACTTAGAATGGTATGGAGTAGATGCGTGAGCATCAAAAAAGGATGATCAGGTAAAGTTAGGAGGGATGAGGACTTTTACAAGGTGGTTCATACCCTTCACAGCAAGTTTGGCAGATGTCCGATCATGTTCTGTTTCACAGCAGTACTCTCCAGCGTCTCCTCCTTGCAGCTTGTAAATGATAAGCTCAGCAACAGCCCCATCTTGCTTCAGCTGATATTTGTTGCTTGCTTCTATTACACTCTTGTCTTTCCTCCAGATGACTCTGGCTCCAGCTTTATCAAGTTCACATCGAAAAACTGCATTTTCCCCAGCTTCACTTTCCAAATTTTTCAGAAATGATTTGAAAAGAACTGGCAGTGCTGCAAATGGTGAGTAAACATGTGTTTAAGGTCATCATGAAGAAACGGCTTCAAATGATACAGGAAACAAAGACGGTTCAATCCAAGCCTACCCTTAACTTCCAGATATGCAATGCTTTGGCGTTCTCCAGTGTCACAGATATAGTCACCAGAGTCCTCAGGTTCAAGGTCATGTATGAACAGTTGGGCACGGTGGCCATCTTGCTTGAATTCATATTTAGCACAGGGGCATAGGCCAATTTCACCCCTGCGCCACTCAACTGGAATGTCTGCTTTGGAGAGCTCACACTGGAAGCTGATGCTCTCTCCCTCAACAGCTGTCTGGTTTTTCAGTGCTTGTGTGAAGATGGCTGGAAGTGCTGCCAATGCAAATAGTGGTATAAGATGCAAGAGATTAATTCTGTAGAGTTATAAAAAGATTTTCCAGACAAGTAAAACCTGAAGGCAACAGTTCAAACAAACATTATAGTACACCAACAGGATACGATTAAATTTCTTTCTTAAGCTTTATCTTCATAATAAGCTGTGGAAGCATTCATACTTCACAAACACAGGGTGTGACAATGCAGTTCAAAGATGGATTAGAATGATAGAAAAATTTATGAAGCAGTTGGTCTTCTCCTACCATTAACCTTGACACTGGCTGTGGTAATGCTGTCTCCGCAGTCACAAGCATAGTCTCCAGAATCTTCAGGTTTGACATCAGTGATCTTCAGCTCAACAGTAGAGCCAACTTGCTTGATGAGGTAGTTTCCTCCAGAATGGATCACCTGTGTTCCTTTCCTCCAAACCACAGGAACTTCAGATTTTGAGAGTTCACATCGCAAAGTAACACTGTCCCCTTCCTGAATCTCTTGGTTCTGTAGCTCACGTTTGAAGACCACTGGTAATGCTGAGGAATCGGGCAAAGTTGTTGAACCAGCAACAGGATCTTGTGAGATTAAGTTTACACTTTGCATCAAAAATATTCTTTTCACTGATAGATGTAAAACATTCTTCTACAATGGCTTAACTTATATTTTGACCACCTTCTAAGATGTTTAACTAAAACAACCACCATGATGTAAATGGGAAAACGATAAACTAGACAAACAACTTAGTACATTAGAATAGCCAAATAAACAGCACTATACACTACCCTACATTAAATGAAGACATTATTAATGGACAGCTGTTTAGATCAGAAAACAGGAAGTTTCTTCATTGTTGAAGACGGCTCAAATAAAAGATGAGTCCTACCATTGACTTTGATGTTAGCAGTGCAGATGTTGTCTCCACAATCACAAACATAATCTCCAGCGTCTTCAGGTTTGACATCAGGGATCTTCAGCTCAACAGTAGAGCCAACTTGCTTGATGATATACTTGCCTCCAGAATGGATCACCTGTGACCCTTTCCTCCAAACCACAGGAACTCCAGGTTTGGAGAGTTCACAGTGCAAAGTGACACTGTCCCCCTCTTGAAGCTGTTGGTTCTGCAGCTCACGCTTGAAGACCACTGGTAATGCTGAGGAATCAGGCAAAGTTGTTGAACCAGGAACAGGATCTTGTGAGATTAATTTGTCATTGTTAGGTCTTTGAGGGTTCAAATAAAAGCTCAGTCCTACCATTGACTTTGATGTTAGCAGTGGTGATGTTGTCTCCACAATCACAAGCATAGTCTCCAGCATCTTCAGGTTTAACATCAGTGATCTTCAGCTCAACAGTAGAGCCAACTTGCTTGATGAGGTACTTTCCTCCAGAATGGATCACTTGTGACCCTTTCCTCCAAACCACAGGAACTCCAGGTTTGGAGAGCTCACACTGGAAGATGATGCTTTCTCCTTCAATAGCTGTCTGGTTTTTCAGCTCTTGTGTGAAGGTGGCTGGAAGAGCTGCCAATTCAGAGAGTGGTATAAGATGCCAGAGATTTAGTTCTATACATTTAGATGAGGTAAAAAAAACATTTTCCAGAGAAGTAAGATCAATACAATACAAATGCAATGGTCCAAACAATGGTTACAATTAAATCCTTTTTTTGGCCTTAACTTCATATTAAATTGGGGAATCATTCGCACTTTACAACCAAGAAATGCATGTGACAATGCATTTCAAAGATGGATTAGAATGATGGAAAAATTCATGAAACAGTTGGTCTTCTCCTACCGTTAACCTTGACATTGGCAGTTGTCATGCTGTCTCCGCAATCACAAACATAATCTCCAGCATCTTCAGGTTTGACATCAGTGATCTTCAGCTCAACAGTAGAGCCAACTTGCTTGATGAGGTAGTTTCCTCCAGAATGGATCACCTGTGTTCCTTTCCTCCAAACCACAGGAACTTCAGATTTTGAGAGTTCACATCGCAAAGTAACACTGTCCCCTTCCTGAATCTCTTGGTTCTGTAGCTCACGTTTGAAGACCACTGGTAATGCTGAGGAATCGGGCAAAGTTGTTGAACCAGCAACAGGATCTTGTGAGATTAAGTTTACACTTTGCATCAAAAATATTCTTTTCACTGATAGATGTAAAACATTCTTCTACAATGGCTTAACTTATATTTTGACCACCTTCTAAGATGTTTAACTAAAACAACCACCATGATGTAAATGGGAAAACGATAAACTAGACAAACAAATGACACTAGAACAAGCAGTGGTGCAGATAAAGTTGAAGGAGAAAATGGATCAATGGCCATTGATTTTTAAGTGAAAGAATATAAGTAAAACAAAAATAAAACAAAATCAGATTATCAACATGTGCTTCACTTATACTTATGCAAAGACTTTTTTAAAACATAAAAGATGAACAGTTATTTTGCTTAAGTTTGTCTGGTAATAAATGTACGAGCAGCAGTACTGAAAATTGTCCAAAAAAGAATGCTTAAAGAGAATATCCAAAGGATTTTTGATGCATGGGTGAGAAGTTTAAATACTTATCAACAAAATAAAGACATACCACAACAAAGTGTGCACAAAAACACTATCGTAATGCAAAAGCGAATGTGTGGCCACATGCTGTTCCATTCAAAAGAATACATTACTGAACATTTTGACTGGGATTCACATTTCCATTAGCACATAAACGTGCTGCACGACAGGCAGGAAATATACATCAGTTTCATACCACTGAGCTCTGCCTGTTTCTCTTTCTTCTGCTTCTGGAAGTCTGATTCAAGGGCAGCAGAAGGACGGAGGAACTTTAGAGCTGTGATAAAAGACACATTCATGTAAACTGCAACCCTTGGCCAAAACCGTAAGGATCTTAAAACACAAATAGCAACGCCTGTATCAGCCATGTTGGACAATAGAGGCATATACAGAACAAGCAGACATCCTATATTAAAATGTATTTTACAGAAGCATTCATGCATGTTGATAAATGAAAGCCCCCAAAGCCTGACTGATTTCTCACTGACAGATAGAATGGCCAACAAGAAATCAAGCTGCTGACCAAAGAAAACAAAGCACGGACAGTCATTCCGCACATTCGCTCTGTACAATCAACTGATGCCCCCTGCTCAGTAGTCTGCTTTTGAAGTCCTGGTTGGTATGAGGGTGTATGGGCCTTCAGAACTGTGAAAAAAAACATTTTGCTGATGGAATAACAGACAATGAAATCTCAAACAAGCATAAACGTGCTGCACGACAGGCAGGAAATATACATCAGTTTCATACCACTGAGCTCTGCCTGTTTCTCTTTCTTCTGCTTCTGGAAGTCTGATTCAAGGGCAGCAGAAGGACGGAGGAACTTTAGAGCTGTGATAAAAGACACATTCATGTAAACTGCAACCCTTGGCCAAAACCGTAAGGATCTTAAAACACAAATAGCAACGCCTGTATCAGCCATGTTGGACAATAGAGGCATATACAGAACAAGCAGACATCCTATATTAAAATGTATTTTACAGAAGCATTCATGCATGTTGATAAATGAAAGCCCCCAAAGCCTGACTGATTTCTCACTGACAGATAGAATGGCCAACAAGAAATCAAGCTGCTGACCAAAGAAAACAAAGCACGGACAGTCATTCCGCACATTCGCTCTGTACAATCAACTGATGCCCCCTGCTCAGTAGTCTGCTTTTGAAGTCCTGGTTGGTATGAGGGTGTATGGGCCTTCAGAACTGTGACAAAAAACATTTTGCTGATGGAATAACAGACAATGAAATCTCAAAGAAGACATGTGTCCAAAGCTTGGAACACATGCAAGTTCTTTGTCAAGTAGTGTAATATGTGTCGAGTTACTCTACTGTGTATTGCGACTCAAGTCAGTCTAGTGCTGAAGCCTTAAACCCTTATCTGTGTTCCACATATGAACCACACTAAACTGAAGAGGCTGCAAGCTGGAAGAAACCGACAGACAGCGATGATGAAAAGTTTAAGGCAGTTCCAAAACAGATGTCTGACAGACTATGACATTACAGCACAGCAGGCAGAGCCACAGCAGGATACAACAAATTATCTAAAAGTTATATTTAACCATATACAGAATTATTCTGTTTCCCATGAAAAACTTTTTCAGTTAAGTTTTTTTTTCCGCTTTGATATGTCATCTGCAAGAGCGTAATTTTGTGCTACACACTTGAAACAATTACATTTTGTTCATTACTGTAGCATATAAGTGGAATCTTAACAAATGCAACAAATAAAACTACTAACAACACTAAACAACAATATTCATCAACATGAAACAAGCAATATTAAATTGTATAACACTGTTTTTTTGAAAACAGTTGTTTGTCAGAATAGTGCAGCTTGGGTGGGGGGAGTAATTAATGGTTAAAAAATCCCAGAAAGAATAAGAATGATTCATACCCTTGATCTTCATATTGGCTGTGGTTGCCTTGTCTCCACATACACATGTGTAGTCTCCTTCATCTTCAGATTTGAGATCTGTGATCTTCAGCTCCACCTTTGAGGCAATCTGCCTGATGACGTACTTTCCTTCAGGTTGGATAACATGGCTTCCTTTTTTCCACTGCACAGGGACACCAGGTTTGGAAAGCTCGCAGGACAGAGTAGCACTGCCTCCTATATCACACTCCAGGTTTTGCAGCTCATGTATGAAGACCACTGGTAGTGCTGAGGAACCGTGAAAAGTTGTTGGAACCATGTTACACAAACGACTCAGGACAACATCCAAGAACTGGATTGAACAGAAGTCTTTCCAGTCTTCTAGTCTAGTTTTCTAGTTTTGAAGTCATTAAGCCCACCAATCAAGCAAATTATTTATTTAAAAACAGCCATTAGTGTAATAAGAAAAAATCCTGATCAATGATAACTTCAGGGCACAGTAGAGTATGGTGTTGAATGTAATACCCTACATTTAATCACAATTAAAAAAAGATGTCATTCCTACCATTGACGGTAATGGTAGATGAGGTCTTGTTAAACCCACAATCACAACTATAGACTCCAGCATCTTCAGGTTTGACATCAGTGATCTTCAGCTCAAAAACAGAACCAACTTGCTTGATATGGTATTTCTCTCCAGAATGGATCACTTGTGTTCCTTTCCTCCAAACCACAGGCACTCCTGGTTTGGAGAGCTCACAATGAAGAGTAACACTGTCTGCCTCTTGACACTCCTGGTTTTGTAGTTCTCGTTTAAAGGTCAATGCTAAGAAGCAATTGATGTTTAAACAGGTTGTTAGTGTAATGCACTTTGCACAAAATGTAAAAGCACAACATGAAAAAACATTCAAAAACCTCCCAAAGAAAACAAGAGACATAAGATCACAAAAACTGTGAACATCTTACAGGACAAGATTACCAGATATTTGTATTAGTGAAGTTAACCTACTAATGCCACATAATGCTATAATATCTATATAAGTTCCCTTCAAGCGACTAACCAGTAAAGGTCAAAATATAAAAAGTCTTTGTACTCAGTAAAATACGGAAGTCCTAAGAAGCCATGGATTATGATTATTTTTCTTTCTTGTATTCTGGTGATCACGACATAACAAAAGTTGTTTTCTCATTATCACGACTTAATAAAAGTTGTTTTTGTTATCACGACATAATTTTCTCATGATCTCGTGGCTTTTCATACCACTGCTATGCTGATAACACTCAACTCTACCTCTCATTCCATCCTGATGATCCGACGATAGCTGCTCGCATTTCAGCTTGTCTAACAGACATTTCTTGCTGGATGACGGACCATCACCTTCAACTCAACCTGGCTAAGACAGAACTGCTTGTGGTTCCATCAAACCCATCGTTTCATCACAATTTTTATTGTGCCATCCCAAAGAAGCACAAAATCACTTTTACGGACTTTTAAATTAAATGTTCCCTCCTGGTGGAATGACCTGCCCAACTCAATCCGAGCAGCTGAGTCCTTAGCCATCTTCAAGAATCGGCTAAAAACACATCTCTTCCATCTTTATTTGACCTTCTAACTTTAGAACTCTCTATTCTAATTCTATTCTTTAAAAAAAAAAAAAACACATGTCCCTTTTAGACTTGCACTCTTATTAATTTGCTGCTTGTTTTCTTAAAAAAAAAAAAAAACTAACACTAGCTTTCTAATCTTTTCGTATTCTATCTGTTTTCTTTTCATTTATTATACAATTAACAAAAGCAAAAAAATACCTCTAACACTAGCTTGCGCTATTCTTTTTCTATTCTATCTGTTTTCTTTTTATTTATTATATGATTTTTTTTTAAAAACTTGCTATGTGTACTGTGTTAAGCTAACTGAGACTTGTTATAGCACTTGCATATCATTGCTCTTGTTGATTTTGATTGGTTCCATTGTCCTCATTTGTAAGTCGCTTTGGATAAAAGCATCTAGTAAATGACTAAATGTAAATGTATAATGCACTACAACACTGAGGTGCAAATATTTGCCACTATTTGCAGTAAGTATAAATATAGCATCTTCTATTGCACTTTTTGCAAAGAAAATAATAATTTACTAACTGCTTGTTTTCTTTAAAAAAAAGAAAAAAGAAAAGAAGTTTTCTTTTTGTATTCTATCTGTTTTCTTTTTATTTATTATATAATTGTAAAAACCCTTGCTACGTGTACTGCGTTAAGCTAACTGAGACTTGTTATAGCACTTGTATATCATTGCTCTTTTGTTGATTTTGATTGCTTCCATTGTCCTCATTTGTAAGTCGCTTTGGATAAAAGCGTCTGCTAAAATGACTAAATGTGATCACGACTTCATTTTCTTGTGATCTCGATTCTCGATATAACAAAAGTTGTGTTTTTTTTAGAATGATTGTTTGATTTTTAAAACAATGCATCGTGAGTCTACTGTTGCTATAGTAATGAACGCAACTTTGACGTGCATCCGATCAACAGATAAACTGTACTAATACTGCATGTTGTGGATATTTCAGCAAATTTTGCTTCGCTTGGTAATAACGTCTACAATAAATAAATAAATATAGGCTAATCAATCACTGCTGACAACATTGGTTTTAATAAGCAATACATTTAGTATCACACCGAACACCACTGCGGTAGTGATATAATCATATTTATTCAAGCATTTAACATTTATAAGTTAATTAAATGTCAGTAATGAACAATACTGCACAAATTATAGCAATCACGAAGAAGGTCCACTCTGTCCCAAACGCGTAGAGTAAAGTAGATAATAGTATACAACACCCCATTGGTTATAATCAGTTCTATACTGCCACCTGTTGGTGCAGTTGTGTGACTTAGAGAACAACTTTTCTTATGTCAAGATCACGAGAAAACAATTTTCGTTATGTCAAGATCACGAGAAAATTAAGTTGTGATCACGAGAAAACAAGAAAGAAAAATAATAATCATTCATGGCCTCTTAGGACTTCCGTAGTAAAGAGTGAACATGAAAAAATAAGTCAAACCGAATTAATTTCATACCCTTGATCTTAATGTTTGTTGTAGTCTTTTTGTCCCCACACAAACATGTATATTGTCCAGCATCATCAGGTCTGAAGTCAGCAATTTTCAACTCAACAGTAGCCCCATCTTGTTTGATGTGGTACTTTTCTCCAGAATGGAGCACCTGCGTTCCTTTCTTCCAAACAACAGGAACTCCAGGCTTTGAGAGTTCACAGTGAAGAGTAACGCAGTCTCCTTCGTTACACTCTTGGCTTTGTAGCTCATGTCTGAAGACCACTGGTAATGCTGAAGAGCAATTGCGTGATGACATAAATTTAAGGTGTATAAAAATTAGTAAAAATCTGTACACATGCATTGACATTTTATTGTATCGCTTGATCTGAGTACTAATAAATTGAATTAAAGTAAGCAAAAAAATGATAGAAATCAATGAATGGATGCATGTAAATTAATAATCTTTTATCCATACCACTGACAACAACATTTGCTGTTGTTTTTTCGTTTCCACATTCACAGGAATATACTCCACTGTCCTCAGTCACTAAGTCTGAAATCTGTAGCTCACACATGGTGTCCCTCTGCGTTATCTGATATCTTCCCCCATGTTTCAGACTTTCAGTTCCCTTTTTCCATTGCACTTGGCAGCCAGGTTTTGAGAGCTCACAGGAAAGTAAGACTTTCCCACCTTCAGTAACCTGCTGGTTCTTCATTTGCCCCTTAAACCTAGCTGGTACCACTGGAGAATGAACAAGCATCATATAAAATGCTGAAGAGCAATTATGTGATGACATAAATTAAAGGTGTGTAAAAATTAGTAGTTTCTTGACTACACATGCATTGACATTTTAGTGTATCGCTTGATCTTAGTGCTAAAATAAATTGAATTAAAGGTTTTTTTTATCAAAAAAAAAAAAAGTCTAAATCAATAAATGGATGCATGTAAATGAATAGGCTTTTATCCATACCACTGACAACAACATTTGCTGTTGTTTTTTCGTTTCCACATTCACAGGAATATACTCCACTGTCCTCAGTCACTAAGTCTGAAATCTGTAGCTCACACATGGTGTCCCTCTGCGTTATCTGATATCTTCCCCCATGTTTCAGACTTTCAGTTCCCTTTTTCCATTGCACTTGGCAGCCAGGTTTTGAGAGCTCACAGGAAAGTAAGACTTTCCCACCTTCAGTAACCTGCTGGTTCTTCATTTGCCCCTTAAACCTAGCTGGTACCACTGGAGAATGAACAAGCATCATATAAGTAAAATTCTTCTTCATAGTTTTAGCATCCATAAGACAGGATAGAAGATCACTAGGATGAGATTATGAGGGTTTGACATGGAAGCTAGGATAAGCCGAAAATGTTCTATAATCACAGAAATATTAAAACAAACAGAAACAATTCCAACACATCCATTGCACCAGGACTACATGAATATATATATACATACAAAGTCCAGACAAGACTGAACCTCACAAACCAAGACAAAACACAAAAGTGCAAGTGCCATTTCTAAAATTTGACAATTTGACAGACTGCTGAAAGACACCACCTGGAAATCACACAACAGCTTCTTTATAAAAACTAACTGATCTGTCCAATAAAACCTAAATTATATTCCAGATAACTAAGACAAGCATTCTAATGGTGCATTATCACCATGTGCAGACTCCATAGTACAAAGTGTGTGGACCCAAATAAATTAATGAAATGTTCCTATCATGACAGTTGTTGAACTATTCCAGCATTTCTGGAAATAAAAGACTATTTAACCAGATTTTCACCAAACTGAGTTGCTAGAAATCTAAATGACATGTAGAGTACCAACCTAATTGTAAAAGTACAATATAGAAGTACCAATTCTTTGAACTGAGGTGATCATCTGCTGACACAGCAATGCATGAGACTATCAGCAAAATGCCTGGCAGTAGCAGCGCCACACAGGAACCAAAAGTGAAACGTCAAATGCAGAAATACAACACATATGGTGAATCAAATTAAAAACTGTACTTACCAGAAATATTTTCAAAGACCACTGAGACATCAAAAGAGACTACATCAAAGCTTTAAACATACAGTAAAAAACACTAGAGTGTATCCATTTAAGAATATAAGATTCTCTGGCTTCAAGTTCTTTTCTAGATAAGATAATACTTTGCTATAAACAGCAAGAAAGAGAGAATTCTGATTTCTGTGGAAAGTGGAAAGCCAGGTTCTTACCTTTCACTGTCAATTTGGCTCTACTCTTCGTAGAGCCAATGTCACAGGTGTATACCTCGCTGTCACTCTTCTCCAGATCCTTCACTTTGAGGATGAGGACAGTTCCCTTTTGCATAAACTCATACCTTCCTCCAGCCCTAATCTCCTTTGTTCCTTTAAGCCAGGTGACTTCAGAGGCAGGTTGGGCTGTCTCACAATCAAAGGAGACAGCACTCTTCTCTTCTGCAGTGGCATCCTTTAGCTCACGAATGAATTTGTTGGCCAGTTCTACAGAGGGGATGAAATACTAAGGTAAATATATCTCCTCTTTAGGCTTGTGGGATTTCCCCTGTTGTGTGTTTAAAGAAAGGATGACAGAATCTAAAACCATAAGTTTTAAAAACCTTGCCTTTGATCTCCAGTTTAGCCTTGGAGGTTGGACCACCGGTGACCTCACAGCTGTATTCTCCAGAGTCTTTTTCAGTGACGTTGCGGATTGTCAGCTTTACAAGCGTCTGCTCCTGACTGATTTCGTATTTCTGGCTTTTTCTGATAGACTTGCCATCCTTTGACCACTTCACTTCCAGTCCAGATTGAGAAAGGTCACAGGAGAATGTGGCATCTTCACCAATTTTGGCACTGACACCCTGAAGCTCTTTAGATATGGTAGGAGCTTCACCTAGCTCCCAAAAATAAAATACACCTTGATCAAGCAAAACCGTATATGTGTAAAAGCTATAATTCAATTCATGCTCTTATTTTCATTGCATTCCCCCGCTTACCCTCAACAGTAAGTGTTGCCTTTGAGCACAAATCCTTGAGCGTGAAGACCACCTCACCAGAATCAGAAGCTGAGACAGCTTTGATTGTTAAGGTATACTTGCGCCCTTTGCTGCTTATCTGGAAACGGCCTCCATCAGTGACAGGTTGGCCTTTTAGGCTCCAGGTGCACTTCTCTGAACTTTCTCGGGACAAGATACACTCGAATGTGCAGTTTTCACCTGCTTTGGCCTCTACCGACTTAAAACGCTTGGTGATCCCGATGTGGATATCTGGGGTCAACAGCAAAAACATTATTGAAAAACACTAGCAACTTCATCATCTGTTTTCATAAAAACATAAAGGATAAAACTACAACAAAAAGACACTACAGTGTCATTGTAGCACAACAGTAGTACATAAGTTTGTTGTCATACCTCTAATAGTGACCTTGGACTTGGAGAGGTCTGTGCCAAGATCACAGCTGTACTCCCCGGCATCAGCTTGCGTGACATCATGGATAGTAAGTCCCAAGGTCTTACCATCATGGAGGAGCTCATACTTTTTGCCTGCTGACAGGACTGTACCATCTTTGCGCCACACAGGGGCCACTCTGGGCTTTGAGGCTTCACACTTAAGGGTAACTGTACCCTTCTCCTCTGCAACTACATCATCCAGCAACTTCAGGAAGATGGCTTTCTTCTCTGGATGTCAATAAATAAAAAGTGCATTAAGCCAAAACTTAGTAAAAAGAATGTCTTAATCCATCACATTCAAAGCATTTCTGTAAATCTGCATTATTTGGACATCATCATACAACCCCACCTTTGACTTTTAGGCAGACTGTTTCTTTCACATCCCTGATGCTGAATGACACCTTCCCACCATCCACAGGTGCTAGGTTCTTGAGGGTGAGCGTATGGGTCTTATCCACATGGGTGATGACATTGACCTCATTGTTGAAGAGCGGCTTGTCATTGAGTGTCCACTGGACCTCTTCATCAGCATAGTTAACCTCACAGGTGAACGTAGCATCACCATCTTCATCCACCTCCACGTCTGTCAGATGTTTGGTGATCTGGATTTTACGCACTATGTATGTCAGAAAAATAAATAATCAGCGTGATCAGAATGGCATTTATTTTACCAACAGCACCTATATAATGAGGTCTAGGCGTAGTCAAAGCAGATCTCTCACAAGCAGCCCTATCCCTAACGGGGTGGATGTATAAAGGGAATGCAATTTGAAACAACATGCTTTGAATGCCTTCTTTGTGACTTTACCTTCTACTTTGATAACGGCTTTGCTCTCACAGACCCCGACCTGACAGCGATACTCTCCAGAGTCCTCTGCACTCAAAGCTTGTATGATCAGCTGCACATTAGCGTCCTTTTGCTTCATGCTGTATTTGCTAGAAGCCTCCAAAGCAGTTTGACCCTTAAACCACCGTACTTCTTTTGGTGGGGCAGAGAACTTGCAGCATAGTGTGGTGGAAGTCTTCTCCTTGGCTGACCCATATTTGAGAGGCTCCAGGACTTCAATGGGACGCTCTGTGGGGTGATATGAACAGTGACTTTGAAAAAAACACAAAAGAGCACAAAACTACAACAAACATTGCATTTCATCTGTAGTAAACATAAATAGAGCAACATTTTTCAAAGCACTTCTGCAGTTTCTGTAGGAATTTTATCAGGCATCATTAATCAAAAACTATTTAATTGGAATTATTAGATACAGATTAGATTTTGGTGTCTATTTTGCAAATCTTGGTTAAACCAAGTGTCTAACCTTTCACTTTGAGATCAGCTGTTGATTTACTCTTTCCGGCGGTGAACTGTACCGGTCCTGACATGGAGGCCTTGGTCTTTTTAAAAGTGAGGCGGTGCATGGTTCCCTCTTTCTCCATCTCAGTATCTGCACTCTCCTTCAGCTGTTCCCCATTTAGCATCCACTTCACTGGCTTGACTGTCTCCACACTGACTTCCACCTCAAAGTGGGCAGCAAATGGCTCGGTCACCTCCACAGAACTCAGCTCCTGTACTATGCTGATAGCCTGCTCTGAAGGTTGTGATGAGACAGTATAGTGATGTGTCAAGAATTGGCTATATCAAAAATGTTTATGTAGTACAATTCTTTAAAAACACTTTAGACATAGGAAGACAGATACTAATGAAGCTACATGGAAATAAACAAAATGCATGGAAGGAAAATTTACATAACAGTACTTTAAATTGGAAGCAAGCATAAATTTGTCCCTGTTTGGAAGGGGAAATTAATTAGATAAATACGATTTTTAAATATAGTTGAAATCACATACAACGATCATTCTTGTCTGTTGCAGATCAATCAAAAATTGATCTACAAACTGTTATCAAATAATAAAAAAACATGCAATCACATTTTGTATGCCCTCTTTACAGTCAGTTTCAAAAGCATTTTAGTTTGTAATGTATGGTTGTGTTTCATGGATTCTGTTGTGATTTCATCCAAAAATTTTATTTTATTCTTTAAATCATAATTGAAATTTTTTTTTACCCTCTACTAGTAGCTGACATGAAGTCTTATCATCAATGGCGTCACACATGTATGTATCCTCATCATCAGAATCCACGTCAATGACGGTGAGCTTCCTGTAGACGTCCTCACTGGTGATCTCGTGCTTCTTGCTGGGTTTGATCTCTGACTTGTTCTTGTACCACATGACTTTAGCGTTGGCCCTTGACACCTGACACTCTAAGTATGCACGGTGTTTGTACATGGCGATTTTGTCTCTCAGTTTCTTCACAAATCTGACAGGCAGTTCTGTAATGATTATAAGGGAGCTTAGGGGATCTACAGATTTGTTAGACAACTGTAGAAATGCAACACAGCCCAGGCTGTAGTTCATTAGTCTTAACACTAAATGCAAAATGCATGCAGATATGACAGACACGACAACGTACCTTTAACCTTCAGTTTAGCAGATGAAGAGGCCTTCTCAGCTGTGAACTTGATTTCACCTGCGTCCTCAGCCTTTACAGATTTGAAGAGTAGAATGTATGTTCTTCCTAAGACGGAGAGTGTTAAATGTGTTTGAGAGCTATTAATCTGTCCCTCTTGGAGATGAATTGTTTATTTGCATTTTGTGAACATAGAAATAAAAAGGAACTGATTGTTTTGTAATTTAAACTATGTAATGCCATACTGTGCTGCATGTTTGTCAATATACAAGCATTTCTACAAGCACACCTAAGCTTTCAAGAAGAAAGCAATCAAAGTCCATTCTGTTCAACTCACCCTCCTGCCTTATCTTTATGTTGTCACCGGCTTTGAGTTTGGCATCTCCTTTGTGCCACTGAGCCTCGACCTCATCGTGAGAGACCTCACAGACAATCGTTGCACTCTCCTTCTCTGTCACCTCCACGTCCTGCAGCGGCTTCACTATTTTAATATCTCTGGCTGCAAGAATTCAAATACAAACATTTATAAGTGACACTACAAAATGCTTGAGTTCAGCAGTGATTAAATGTCCCACTCAGAAGTCGTTCATCTTTACCGTGAACAGTGAGCTTGGCTGAAGTATTGTCATCTGTTGTTCTACATATATACTGGCCCTGGTCTTCATATGCACACTTGTGGATGATGAGGGTGCGCTTATTGGCCTGGGAATGGATGCCAAATTTCTTTCCTGGCTTTAGTTCTGCATCATCCTGATGGAGAAATAATGACACAGTTAAATTTTTTTTTTCTTTTTCTGTTTTTAAGTCATTTTGTATTTCATCCATATGTGACTACACAATTTATTTTTTAACAATTCCAAATCAAATACTAATACCTTAAACCACTTGACATCAGCATTTGCTCTTGACACCTCACATTCAAAAGTGATTTTCTCCTTTTCAGGAGAACTGATATCCCCTAGAGGTTTGAGGATCTTTGCAGCAGGCTCTGTGCACACAACACCAATAATTAGGGTTGCAATTGTTATATATAGATTTTAACATTGGTGGTTATGTTACGGATCTGCTCATCAGTTTACATAAACCTTACTAAACTTGCAATAAGCGTAAATGGGATATATTGTGGACATACATTTAGTTTATCTGGTGGAATATACTTTAAAATGTTGGTTATACAGCTTCTAAAAGTACTAAACTTGAAAATACACTTTTTATGATCTTATGCTAAACATCTTACTGAATCTTGCTACTCAGGCTTAAAAGACCCCCAAGATACACACTTACCTGTAACAATTAGTTTGCCAGATGTATGGACATCCTCAGCTTGGAAAGTAATATTTCCACCATCACTTATCTTCAGCTGGGATATAGTCAAGCAGTGCTTGTTGCCCAGTGCAGTAATGATGATATTGGGTCCTGCCTTTAGTTTCTTTCCATCTTTGCTCCAGGAACCTTCTACATCAGCCTTGCTTAGCTCCACCTCCATAGTGATGGTCTCTTTTTCTTGCACTTTCATCTCTTTTAGGACTTTAACTATTTGAATCTTCTTAACTAAATGGTAGGGAAAAACAATGGAAATCCATAGATGAAATACTTTTATTTTATAATTTCCTGTATATTCTGAGCATAAAATATTATGATCGAAAGAGTAACTGAATAGAGTAACATAATGAAGGAATCCATACTTTCTACTGTCAGTTTGGCCTGGGTCTTGTCATCTAGGGTTTCACATGAGTAATGTCCTCTGTCAGCATACGCCACACTCTTGAGGACCAAAGCCTGCTTGGCACCATCCACATGGATCTCCATATTTTCTCCTTGCTGTAGTACCACACCATTCTTCATCCACTTGACATCTGTTGAGGGTTTACTAAGCTCCACTTCCAAACGAACTGTGTCCTGCTCAGTCACAGTCACATCTGCAAGCTTCTTCTTGAAGGTGACAGGAAGCTCTGCAAAATACGGATACATTTGTATTGAGAAACAGGTAGTCTGTGTGCTTCCTGCCGATATGTTGCATTACGCATAACAGCTGTATGTCACTTATCCTTACGTTGTACTTGCAGTGTGGCTTTGCACACTTTTCCCTCGGCATCGATACTGATCTCTCCTGCATCCTCCTGAGTGACACCTGTGATGGTAAGGGAATGGCTGCTTCCTCCATGAGCGATCTTAAATTTGGGACTAGCTGTAATAGGAATGTCATTATGCAGCCATCTGACACTCACATCAGCTGGTGTGATGGAGCATTTAAAGATAGCATCTTTGCCTTCATTTGCAACAACATTGTTCAGCCTGGTAGTGAACCTCACCAGACGTGGGGCTGTGGGAAATTAGATTGAAAAGCTGAGAGAAATAATAACGAAGGACATCTATCACTTAAAAAAAGCTTAAGTTGTGTTGGTTCATTTTGATGAGAATTGATGACTTTCAGACATAGACACTAATGGTTTGTACCTTTAGTAGTGACTTTGGTGAAGGTCTTGTCATCTTTGCATTCACAACTGTACTCCCCTTCATCCTCCTGAGCCACAGCAGAGACAGTCAAGATGCAGTTGGTGCCATCGGTGCGGACACTGAATCTGCCACCTGGTTTGATTTCTTTGCCGTTGTGCTTCCAGAGGACACTATCCGTGGCTTTGTTGAGACTGCAGGAAAGTGTCATGGTGCTTTCTAGTACTGCAGACACTGGCTGCAATGGCACCACAAACTTTAAAGGTGCATCTGCAGGGAATAGATGAGGGGACAATGAAATCACATTTTGTCTGTGATCAATTAGATTTATTATTTCAATAAGTGCAATTATATCCAACAAAAATTTACTTTGAAAACTCCACAAACACATTAATTGAATTGAATTGAAAATAAATAAATATGCAAGAAAAAAAATTATGAAAACTGCCATTAAACTGTTAAAATGAACAAATTTGACCTTGAGAAATTAACACTTTAAACCATTTGTACTTTTTTTTACTTTGAATTGCAAATTAGCTTTTACCTTTGACCTGAACCTTGAACTCCACTTTGTCTTCAGCCGTCTGACAAGAGTAGGTGTCGCTGTCTTTAGATTCAGACGACTTAACGATGAGGACACGTGAGCAACCTTCCTGTTTTATCTCATACTTTGATCTGTCATTCAGTTCTACTCCATCCCTGAACCACTTAACACTACAATTCTCTGACATTACCTCGGTTTTTAAAACAACCTTTTCTGTTGACTCAACCATCACAGTTTCTTTTGTCACAGATGTCTTCTGGAATTTGGTAGAAACATCTGAGGAAAAAATAGCAAATAATCACTTAATTGTGACCATGTTCTGGAGGAAGACAAGTATGTGGATTCATGGAAGTCCACTAATGTGCTAGAAAATCTTACCTTTCACCTGAATCTTGAAGAGAAGTTTCTCATTTCCAACTTCACAGGTATATTCTCCAGCATCCTTCTTCTCCACATTCTCCAGCACCAGCTGACGGCTCTTGCCCTTTGAATCCATGTGGACAGTCTTACTGGAGCTCAATTGCTTGCCATCCTTGAACCATTTCACCTCAGTCTTGAGGTCAGAAACTTCACAGTTCAGTGTGGCTTTTTGGGAGGCTGAAACCTTCACTTCCTTCTGATAAGAGTCTTTGTTGGTGAATACAGCTTTGAGCTCTAATAAGAAGAGAGTTTACTTAATTCAGAGTTTGCATATTTACAGAGAAAGTCAACGCTAGATTTGCAATTACATTGAATATGACAAGAGACAAGAAATATTTTCATAACAGCTTTTAAATAACCTAAGTTGTGTTGGTTCATTTTGATGAGAATTGATGACTTTCAGACATAGACACTAATGGTTTGTACCTTTAGTAGTGACTTTGGTGAAGGTCTTGTCATCTTTGCATTCACAACTGTACTCCCCTTCATCCTCCTGAGCCACAGCGGAGACAGTCAAGATGCAGTTGGTGCCATCAGTGCGGATGCTGAATCTGCCACCTGATTTGATTTCTTTGCCGTTATGCTTCCAGAGGACACTACTCGTGGCTTTGTTGAGACTACAGGAAAGTGTCATGGTGCTTTCCAGTACTGCAGACACTGGCTGCAATGGCACCACAAACTTTAAAGGTGCATCTGCAGGGCACAGATGAGGGAAAAATGAAATTACATTTTGTCTGCCATCAGTTAGATTTATTATTTCAATTTCAAAAGTGCAATTATATCCAACACAATTTACTTTGAAAACTCCAGATGTATGAGCATTAATTGAATTGAATTGAATAAAAAAAATCAAAAATAAATATGCAATAAAAAATTATGAAAACTGCCATTAAACTGTTAAAATGAACAAATTTGACCTTGAGAAATTAACACTTTAAACCATTTGTACTTTTTTTTACTTTGAATTGCAAATTAGCTTTTACCTTTGACCTGAACCTTGAACTCCACTTTGTCTTCAGCCGTCTGACAAGAGTAGGTGTCGCTGTCTTTAGATTCAGACGACTTAACGATGAGGACACGTGAGCAACCTTCCTGTTTTATCTCATACTTTGATCTGTCATTCAGTTCTACTCCATCCCTGAACCACTTAACACTACAATTCTCTGACATTACCTCGGTTTTTAAAACAACCTTTTCTGTTGACTCAACCATCACAGTTTCTTTTGTCACAGATGTCTTCTGGAATTTGGTAGAAACATCTGAGGAAAAAATAGCAAATAATCACTTAATTGTGACCATGTTCTGGAGGAAGACAAGTATGTGGATTCATGGAAGTCCACTAATGTGCTAGAAAATCTTACCTTTCACCTGAATCTTGAAGAGAAGTTTCTCATTTCCAACTTCACAGGTATATTCTCCAGCATCCTTCTTCTCCACATTCTCCAGCACCAGTTGACGGATCTTGCCCTTTGACTCCATGTGGACAGTCCTACTGGAGCTCAACTGCTTGCCATCCTTGAACCATTTCACCTCAGTCTTGAGGTCAGAAACTTCACAGTTCAGTGTGGCTTTTTGGGAGGCTGAAACCTTCACTTCCTTCTGATAAGAGTCTTTGTTGGTGAATACAGTTTTGAGCTCTAATAAGAAGAGAGTTTACTTAATTCAGAGTTTGCCTATTTACAGAGAAAGTCAACACTAGATTTGCAATTACATTGAATATGACAAGAAATATTTTCATAACAGCTTTTAAATAACCCAAAGAAGACTGTCAAGATGCACAGAACCAAAATGAACAATCCAAAATGGTTTCCATACCTGTCACCTGAATCTTAAATGGCAGCTTTTCATTCCCAACTTCACAGGTATATTCTCCAGCATCCTTTGTCTCCACATTATCCAGCACCAGCTGACGGCTCTTGCCCTTTGACTCCATGTGGACAGTCTTACTGGAGCTCAACTGCTTGCAATCTTTGAACCATTTCACCTCAGTCTTGGGGTCAGAAACCTCACAGCTGAGTGTGGCTTTTTGGGAAGCAGCTACTTTGACTTCCTTCTGGTAGGAGTCCTTGTTGGTGAAGGCAGCTTGAATATCTAGTTGGGCAGGCATATTGGAACATGGATCCAATATTAGAAAACAGTAAATATTTTACTTTAAGTAATAGACATCAAATACTGCAAGGACTGAATGGTTGAGAAATCCAGCAGAGATCAAAAATCATAGCATGCATATTAAGCAAACAAATCCAAATCTCACTGCAGACCATTACTTTTTCAGTAGCATTGAAATAAGCAAGTAATTGCTTTTTAGTTTTAAAATTACCTCTTTTTGAACAGAATAATTGCGTCACTGAATCTACAAACACAAGTTAATTGTATCTTACTCAATGGTCTCTTTCACAAAGGACAAACTCTTTTTCTACTCCAAAATGGTTTCCATACCTGTCACCTGAATCTTAAATGGCAGCTTTTCATTCCCAACTTCACAGGTATATTCTCCAGCATCCTTTGTCTCCACATTATCCAGCACCAGCTGACGGCTCTTGCCCTTTGACTCCATGTGGACAGTCTTACTGGAGCTCAACTGCTTGCAATCTTTGAACCATTTCACCTCAGTCTTGGGGTCAGAAACCTCACAGCTGAGTGTGGCTTTTTGGGAAGCAGCTACTTTGACTTCCTTCTGGTAGGAGTCCTTGTTGGTGAAGGCAGCTTGAATATCTAGTTGGGCAGGCATATTGGAACATGGATCCAATATTAGAAAACAGTAAATATTTTACTTTAAGTAATAGACATCAAATACTGCAAGGACTGAATGATTGAGAAATCCAGCAGAGATCAAAAATCATAGCATGCATATTAAGCAAACAAATCCAAATCTCACTGCAGACCATTACTTTTTCAGTAGCATTGAAATAAGCAAGTAATTGCTTTTTAGTTTTAAAATTACCTCTTTTTGAACAGAATAATTGCGTCACTAAATCTACAAATACAAGTTAATTGTATCTTACTCCAATGGTCTCTTTCACCAAGGACAAACTCTTTTTCTACATGTAAAATTAGCTTTTGTCAAGCTTCACTGATCGATTGTAATTTTGAGTTCTTTCATAAAGAAGAAAAATAAAATAGAAACAGAGCCAAGAGACAAACACAAGGATGTTCCCATACCTGTCACCTGAATTTTAAAGGCAAGCTTCTCATTTCCAACTTCACAGGTATATTCTCCAGCATCCTTCTTCTCCACATTCTCCAGCACCAGCTGACGGCTCTTGCCCTTTGAATCCATGTGGACAGTCTTACTGGAGCTCAATTGCTTGCCATCCTTGAACCATTTCACCTCGGTCTTAAGGTCAGTAACTTCGCAGCTCAGTGTGGCCTTCTGGGAAGCTGCTACTTTGACTTCCTTCTGATAGGAGTCCTTGTTGGTGAAGGCAGCTTGAATGTCTGGTTGGGCAATGGACAATATCAGAAAACAGTATGCTTTGAGCAAATATATCACTCAAGATTATATACAACAGATACGGCAAAGATTGGATGCTTGAGAATTTAGGAAAACAATGTAAACTGCAAATCAATCCACAAAAAAGCTAATTACATTGCAGAATGAAACTTGTTTTTGGTTCTGTACCACTGAGATGGGCAACAAATTCTTCTACTTGTCATTGTACCACTTCTTGAAGACACATTAATAAAATCTTGTGGAATATTTTGATCAAATGCAATGCATATATCAAACTCTTTGTTTAACCCAACAGACAAACACAAGGACATTTCCATACCTGTCACTTGAATTTTAAAGGCAAGGTTCTCATTTCCAACTTCACAGGTATATTCTCCAGCATCCTTCTTCTCCACATTCTCCAGCACCAGCTGACGGCTCTTGCCCTTTGACTCCATGTGGACAGTCTTACTGGAGCTCAACTGCTTGCCATCCTTGAACCATTTCACCTCAGTCTTGAGGTCAGAAACTTCACAGTTCAGTGTGGCTTTTTGGGAGGCTGAAACCTTCACTTCCTTCTGATAAGAGTCTTTGTTGGTGAATACAGCTTTGAGCTCTAATAAGAAGAGAGTTTACTTAATTCAGAGTTTGCATATTTACAGAGAAAGTCAACGCTAGATTTGCAATTACATTGAATATGACAAGAGACAAGAAATATTTTCATAACAGCTTTTAAATAACCCAAAGAAGACTGTCAAGATGCACAGAACCAAAATGAACAATCCAAAATGGTTTCCATACCTGTCACTTGAATCTTAAATGGCAGCTTTTCATTCCCAACTTCACAGGTATATTCTCCAGCATCCTTTGTCTCCACATTATCCAGCACCAGCTGACGGCTCTTGCCCTTTGACTCCATGTGGACAGTCTTACTGGAGCTCAACTGCTTGCAATCTTTGAACCATTTCACCTCAGTCTTGGGGTCAGAAACCTCACAGCTGAGTGTGGCTTTTTGGGAAGCAGCTACTTTGACTTCCTTCTGGTAGGAGTCCTTGTTGGTGAAGGCAGCTTGAATATCTAGTTGGGCAGGCATATTGGAACATGGATCCAATATTAGAAAACAGTAAATATTTTACTTTAAGTAATAGACATCAAATACTGCAAGGACTGAATGATTGAGAAATCCAGCAGAGATCAAAAATCATAGCATGCATATTAAGCAAACAAATCCAAATCTCACTGCAGACCATTACTTTTTTCAGTAGCACTGAAATAAGCAAGTAATTGCTTTTTAGTTTTAAAATTACCTCTTTTTGAACAGAATAATTGCGTCACTGAATCTACAAACACAAGTTAATTGTATCTTACTCAATGGTCTCTTTCACAAAGGACAAACTCTTTTTCTACATGTAAAATTAGCTTTTGTCAAGCTTCACTGATTGATTGTAATTTTGATTTCTTTCATAAAGAAGAAAAATAAAATAGAAACAGAGCCAAGAGACAAACATAAGGATGTTCCCATACCTGTCACCTGAATTTTAAAGGCAAGCTTCTCATTTCCAACTTCACAGGTATATTCTCCAGCATCCTTCTTCTCCACATTCTCCAGCACCAGCTGACGGCTCTTGCCCTTTGAATCCATGTGGACAGTCTTACTGGAGCTCAATTGCTTGCCATCCTTGAACCATTTCACCTCAGTCTTGGGGTCAGAAACCTCACAGCTCAGTGTGGCCTTCTGAGAAACTGCTACTCTGACCTCTTTCTGGTAGGAATCCTTGTTGGAGAAGGCAGCTTGAATGTCTGGTACAGAAATCAAGATTTAGGAATACAGTAACAGAAACTGCATTTAGTTTTATATAAACATTGGTTTGGACATGGTTGATTGAATCACTGGGACCTTAAAAAAAGCCAAAACACTGGCATGTCGTTCTTACCTTCCACCCGAATCTTAAAGGCCAGCTTATCATTTCCAACTTCACAGGTATATTCTCCAGCATCCTTCTTTTCCACATTCTCCAGCACCAGCTGACGGCTCTTGCCCTTTGACTCCATGTGGACAGTCTTACTGGAAATCAACTGCTTGCCATCCTTGAACCATTTCACCTCAGTTTTGGCATCAGAAACTTCACAGCTCAGTGTGGCTTTTTGGGAGGCTGAAACCTTCACTTCCTTCTGATAAGAGTCCTTGTTGGAGAAAGCAGCACGAGTTTCTAAAAAGGACATTCATTGTTTTAGTGAAACATCAAAAAGGATGCTGTTCAGGACTGCAAAAATACCTCAAGCATCTCCAAATGGACAGAAACACACTGGCTTAATAATACATGTTTTGTGCAAATTTCAACAACCTCTAAGTGATTGTTTCCCGGAGACTAATCTGGAAATGTCTGTTTTCAAGTTTATAATAATACATTTTAATTTCACTTATTAAATCATTTATTAGCTGTAGGAGCATTTAGAGTTTAGCTTCACTGTTCAAAAACCATAAAGTTATGACATTAATTAGGTATTGTGGCATGTCTGATTAATCCTGCTCATTTAAAATTTTAGTTTTTAGACTAATTAGCGCATAGTCTTACCTTTTATCTTGACCAAGAATGTCATTTTGTCCTCTGCCGTCTCACACGAGTAGTGTCCTTCATCGCTCTGCTTGGCACCCCTGATGACCAGCTTCCTTTGTGTCCCCTGAGATATAAAAGTTGTCCTCTTGTCCTCCATTATTTCTATCTGTTCTTTCTTCCACACAACAGCAGTTCCAGGAGAAGCAACCTCACAGCTCAACACCACGTCGCCCACCAGAGCATCACTCTCCTGGGGCTGAGCCCTCGGCTTGTTAACAAACTTAACTGGTTCTTCTGTTAGGGGAAAATGTAAGATTAGATGCCACATGATGTAAGAAACATAGTGACATCCACTGTCCATTTGTATATAATTTGACAGTGAAAAATGCTGACACACAAATGTGACGACCCAAACTCTCCTGATCTACATTTATTTAGTCAGGAACTGACAGTACCTCTAAGTCTAACAGTCAGGAACATATACATTTTAATGTTGTGTACACATCAAAAATCATCACATCCCAAAGTATACTGAATATGATACCTGAAAGTGCATGAGTGCTAAGCAGATCTGTTACCTGACAAACACACCCTCCAACACTTCCTGTTGAGCAGCCAAAGCCCAGCTGCTCCTAGCTGTCAACACTGACTGCTTACACCATTTATCCACTGACTCTGAACTTTCTGTACTTTCTGTGCTGGTATATGAAGCACTCACTACTCAGCACTGATTTTAATTAAACAGCATGCACCACTGTGTATTTCTCTCCTATTATTTGGCAGGATGCGCTCTTCATTATAAATACAATTTAAAGTTGTTCCACTTTGATGTATGTAAATTAACTGTATATATAATTTGTTCTATTTAAGGCCTGAAATATATATATAGAGGCTATAAAAAACAAGAAAACTGAACGTCAGTAACTGAAGAGGAAAGTGGCTTGTTTCACCTTTAAGGGCAAGTTGGACAGACATTTTATCACCATCACACATGCATTCATAGATGCCCACGTCCTCACGGTCAACATTGTGGACTGTCAGTATTCGTTTGCGCTCCACACTTGTGGCTTCATATTTTTTACCCATTCTCAGCTCCTTCCCATTCTTCATCCAAACAACCTAAAGCACAGACAGTACATGTAGTTAACTTTCAAAAACAAACAAACAAAAAAACTACATCCCATCATGCCCCCACATTTATTATATATTTGGAATTTGTCCCTTTTGTATGGGCAATGTATCTCAAAGTTGGTCGAACAAGACAATTTAAACTGGGACAGGAGAAAGTATAACAAACTTAAAATACTTAATGTTTTTTTATTTTATTTTTTTTATAAATACACCTTTAGTTTATTGTGGATTTTGTTTTTTTTTGACAAAAAAAAAATGCATGTTGTCACCTGGACACTTGAATCGGACACTTCTGTGTACATCTGAGCAGAGGAGTGCATGCTGAAAGTAAACACCTCCACCTGAGAAGACTTATTGGTGAAACGTGCAGGTGCGACTAGAGAAGATCAATAAAAAAATATCAGGAACGTTGCTGAAGTTATTCTACTTAAGTTTTCCGAAACTTTTCCTTTCTTACCTTTCACACTAAGCGTGGCAACACTCTGAGATCCGCCACCCACAAACTTGACCTGTGCTCCATTCAGTTCCATGGACACCTCCCTGATGACCAGCGTGTGTGTGGTCTTTGAGCGTGTGATCAGATACTCAGATCCACTGCGGATCATTCTGTCATTTATGGTCCAGGAGCTGGAACATACGGCTGAGAGCTCCACAGTGAAGGTTGCTTCTTCACCTACATGTGCACTGCAGTTCACCAGGCCTGTCTTCACTGACGCTGTGGGCTCTGATCAAATACATTTCAATATATTTAATGGAATACACTGATTTAAAACAGTTTATATTAGTTTAAATATGAAGAACATCCACAGAAAAAAAACAATGTTTTTCTCACCAAGGTAAAACGTTCCAGGAACCTCCAAATAGGCACTCTGACCAAAATCATTGACCGCTGAGATACGGAACTGATAGCTTGCCTCTTCTGGAATTTCACTGATGGTGTATTCAGTGCTAAACACAGTTGTACAAGTGACTTTAACCCAGGTTTGGGCTCCCACCTTCCTGCGCTCCACAATATAGCCGGTGATGGGCACAGGCCGTTCACTGTCTGGTGGAGACCAGCACAGTGTGATCGATGAATCTGTCTTGTTCCGCACCACTGGCTCAGCTGGGGGATCTGGGGGATGTTTCCTTGGTGCTGAGATCAAAGTTTATAATATTGTTAATCAGGTTAAAGAAATTAAATCTCTCTAAATGTCAAAAGCAATTGTGTTGACTGTTGAAACATCATCAAAGAAATGCACAAGTACAGTCACCACAAAGTAGCTGCGGTGTCATTCGATTTGGTACTTACAGTATGACATTTGCAAATTGTAAGAACATAGGAAACCCCTTGTAAAATCTTGTGGAAAGGTTGTGGTCTGATTTACAAATGCATTCACCTGTGACAGAGAAGCGGGTGGATGTCTTGCAGTCATGGGCGATGAAAGCCACCTCACCCGAGTCCTCTGCAGTACATTCGCGAATGGTCAGTGTGTACTGTCTGTTAATGCGGGCGATAATAATTCGGGAGTCCTCTTTCAGCCTCTCCCCATTCCTGGTCCAGTATGCATCATCTACTGGTTTCTCCAGTTCCACACAGAAGATCACAGTATCGCTAACCGGCACCACTGTCCTCCTCGGCAGCTTTTTAGTGATGTTGCCTGAAAGTGCAGAAAAAAACCACATGAAGTATATCTTTTGTGTTGCACCAGGTTATTCATCATTCTGGCCACCCATATTGGAATAGAGCTTATACCCAGCACTGTAAGTTCAGCCACAGTGCGACTGCCTTCCTTCATCTCACAGATGTACACGGCATCATCATTGGTGGTGACATTGTGAATAGTGAGGCGACGCAGGGTCCCTTCCACATCCATGCGGTACTTGGCATTTTCCTCCAGATGGGTCTCCTCCATAAACCAGCTGGCCTTTGTGTTCGGCACTGGCACCTCACACTGAAGAGTTGCTGTTTCCTTTTCCTTCACCTCGACATCCTGCAGCTTCTTCTTGAACGGAATCTTTGGCTCTAGCAATGATACATGTTAGTGAGCATACAGAAGACAATTTCTTTTTAGCTGGCAGTTATGATCTGGCAGTGCCCTACAATTTAGTTTCATATTGATTGGGTTTCCAAGAAAGCAAATGATAAATAAATAGGATGGTTTCACATATAGTATACCTCAGATAAACCTAAGCCAGTTCAGTTAAAGTGAACCAGAAGGGAAACCAGCTCCAAGTGACCTTTGTGGTGTTCACAATACAAGTGGACTTAAACGTGTACCACAAAAGGACCTGCCTGTTTGTGGGTCATTTTGTGGTAGACTTTTAAGTCTACTGTATGTATATTGGGTCCATTTAAGGGGGAAATGCCCTTAAAAAAACAACAGCATATAAGGCAAGAAAAAAGCTGACCATCAAATAAAATAAATGCATTTCTCACATTATATGAGGTTTAATATGTTTGTATCCAGACTGCCTTTGGCTCTACTTTACCAGCTTGAAGTCAATCATATGAAATCTGAACATGTTTACAAAAAAACAGCCTTAAATGTCATGAACTTCACACTCCTAATCCCTTCACATGGAAGCCACTGCACTTTGCACTGCAACGTTGGACTCGTATTTGGCTAAGTTTCTGTGACCTTTCTCTTAGGTGCCTGTGGCATGAGAGTCGAGATTAAGACACAGGAACAAGGTAGCAAAACATTATTGCTACACTTCTGGCTAAAATTAGAACTCTGTATAAATACAGAATGTATACATCTGTGAAGATCATTATTTTAATGTAGGCTTAGTTAACAAATAATTAGGATATACAGTAGACTAATGCTGCAAACCCTGAAGACGTCACTTGGAAAGTCACCCACATAACGGTGTCAGAAGTGATTTTGCAGCTAGCTATCACAACAACTGTGAACTAATCATCACTAGCAGAAATAGGTGTAATGCTACACCCTCTTTGAACACTTGCAAGCACTTTTGCTAAGCAGAGACTGAGCTGAAAGGCAAAGATGACTGTCATTAGTTGATAAAATGTTAATTTAAAGGTTGGTGATTTATTAGGGCCAACCGTATTTTAACATGGTCATTATTGTGCTGACTTTCGTATTAGTCTTACCTGCCAGCCTCAATAAAATGTATGATATTCTCTGACTGATACATGATTTTGTAAACCACTGTACTTGTGTAGTTCTAATAGTAAACTTTCTTTATGATTTCACAAAGGGGGGTTTTACATCTGGCCACTTTTGTTTACTGCTTGGCTTATCATTTGGAAAAGACCAAGTGTAAAGCAGCAATCCAAGACATAGCAATCCAAAAACTCAAACCACCTCAGGAGGAGACATACACAAGACATGACTCAGCTAAGTATAAATGGATCTGGTTGTTCAAGCCACAAATGAAAACTCCCAAAAAGGATTACTCCGTTTATGTAAATTTGCAAGCTTCAAACATTATATGGGGTTAAAGTAAACATTAAAGTTTAAAACATAAACATTTTTCTGTCCCACATTAGAAATAATATCTGCTTTGATCCGAGTGTAAACTGAATGTACATACTCATTCTGACAGCAGATGGATCAATTAGGATGAATAAAGTGGCCAAGAATAAATGCCTGCAGACATTATTCTTACCTTTGACAATCACTAGCACAGCGCTATAGGTTTGTCCAGCCAAGTTGGATGCATTGCAGGTGTACAGCCCATTATCACTTTGTTTGCAGTAGAGCACCTTGAGGATGAAATTTTCAGCCTGGTCCTCATACATAACATGTCTGCGGCCCTCACTGATGTTCACCCCATCCTTCCTCCAGATGATCTGAGGTTTGGGATGGCCTGTGACGAAACAGCTAAGCTTTGCATGTTTACCCTCGGTCACCGTACAGGTGCGGGTAAACACACCTTTGGGCAACATGCTGGTTAAGGCCGAAACCCTCTGCTCCTGATCACAGGCGAGTCCCAAGCTTCCAAGTTCCTCTGTGATCATGGAAGATGAAGCTGTATGCGTGGTTGAGGAACTTTCCATGGTGCGGTATAAGGAGATGTCCTTCCGCATCTCTTCTTTCCGCTTCTGCATGTGTGAGAGGAGGGATGTGCTCTTGTCTGCATTCAGGAGACGAGTATCTTGAAGGTCGACCACCAGAGCAGCAGCGGTCTGAGCACGGCCAATGGAGTTCTGTGCACGGCAGGTGTAGGTACCACTGTCCAAGCTCCGAACACCCTGGATCCTCAAGGAGCTGGATTCATTTTCTGAGGTTATCTTGATGCGGTTGGTCTCACCCAGGTAGCGACCATCCTTTTCCCAGTCAAAGTTTGGTGCTGGATGGGCTGCCACCCGACAATAGAAGGTAACATCACCCCCTACACCCACACGGGAGGAGACAGGCTTTACTGTAAACACTGGGGCCCGATCAATCACAGTTTCCGGCAGTCCCACCTTCAGGGTCACAGCTGCATATGCCTCTCCGACATTGTTCTTGGCACGACACATGTACTGACCGCTGTCTTCTAGAGTTAGATCGTAGACGGTAAGTCGGTAAACATCACCATCTTCTACTGTTTTGAAGCGTCCACCTGCAGAAAGAAGCATCTTGCCTTTCTCCCAGGTGACTACAGGAACAGGGGTTCCCACAATAGTGCAGCTGAGGGAGGCATCTCGTCCTACGCACAGCGAGAAGGCCTTGGGTCGAGTTAGGAAACGTGGAGCCCCGCCAAATAGATTTTGATCCATTCCTGCTTTCTGTAGAGATGAAACAACACACTTTAATAAAAGTTAAAGTTGTGGTCAATGCATAGAGGAGAAACATAAGAACTTGAGATTTTATCAAAGTTTTACATATTTGCACCCTGTCACCATTAAATCTTGCAACTAATCTCAAGGACGTTTATGAAAAGCTGCTTTTCAAATTAGCATACTGTAAGTCAGTCTGAATAAAGTGGGTCTGCTAATGACAAATAACCATGTCAAGAAGATCCTTAAATAGACATTTTGAGAAATGAGAGATGCCTACTTTTAGAGATGCCCACTCAAACCTCTCCAGTATCCCACAACAAATTTGTGATTATGCTACTTGGTTGAAAGAGTCAAGTGTATAAACAAAGCATTAAAACAAATTTGCCTTATTTGGGAATTCATATTTTTCTGTGTATCTATCAAGATGGCACTACACAACCTGAAATGATATACTGTAATAACATCACTCAAAAAAAAAAATAATAATAATAATATTCAGGAACAATATCTTTGTAGAGCAGGACAAGCCATTTATATCTTTGGTCCATTTTCCCAAAAGAGAACGACTGTGAATGTAAAGGGACTAAAAGTTATTGTCATTGTTAAGGAGTTCACTAGTATTTAGATGACATCAGAGCAACTTGGACTTGGACTATAAACCACAAAACATGGGTGGTCAAAATTAACATTGTCCACTTTTGACAGAAGTTTACACAGAATGAACAATGTAAAAGAACCTCGGAAGCCCTGTATCTAGAATAATCATATTGACCTATATCTTTATCAAATGAACTTGCATCTACTATCTCCAACAGAACAGTGGCTGATCTAGTGAAATCTCACCACAGAAAGTCGGTTTTACTGATGAGGTGGAATTTCAGTATAGCAAAGTTAAACAAAGGGATGTTGGTCTTTGAAAAGCATGACATTGGCCATCTCTAACACCTCACCACCCTGAGCTGCCTGTCCCAAAAATAACCTCAGCTGTCGGGCTCCGTCTGCACTATGTCCATTTGTAGAAGAGATCTGACCTGTTGTGTGATATGCACGCTTTTGTCAATGGCATTTTTTTCTTCTAAACTTACAAATTTCGTTTCAAAGAGCAACAGACGTTTTCGCCTGTGTGGATCTCTCCTTGCAAAAAATAAATAAATAAATAAATAGAAATAAATCGTTTTCGTAATTAAAAACAACATAGTTTAAATTTAAACTGAACAATATAATAAAGAAACGTAGCCTAATCAATTCAGCCTTGTTGAATTTGCGACATATATCTAATAAAATAACATAGAAACATTGAAAAATCGAGAGAAGTAAGTCTTCCCTCAGAATCAGATATTAAAAGTTTCACCTTTCAATATTTTATAACGATAAAAAAATCACCTCTTACCTTTTCCCCCTTAAGCTTAAGCTACTTATATAACCCAGTGCAGATGTTCATAAATATCCGATGTTGGCATGTGAAAATATCCTCGTGAAAACAGGTAAATTCCGTGAACTGTAGAGGTGGAGGACAGTGTGTTTTATCCCCCAGTGTCTTTGCTTTCTGTGTGACGCTCCTGTATCGGTCCAACCTCCCGTTGAAAATAGATCCGTCACTTACCGGAGCAAATGTCGCACTGAGGTGAAGTGACTCTTATTGTTGAACAGCCACAGTATGGCAAACCGTTTTAACAGTTTAGGCAGTTTCTCCAAAGCTGTTGAAGTTTCTACAAAGCTATTGTTTTATGTACTTATTGCAGTAACAAATGGCACGTTATTGTTATTACCGGTACATTCTATGGGCTCAAGGTATCACTATTGCAGTAAATACTTCTGACAAGTGCAATACTCATAAGCATGATTTTAAATTACGTTACATTAAGTATGACAAATCAAGTTGTATTGCTATTAGGCCTATTGTTATTAATACGTTTTTTTTTTTGTTGAAACATTAAGTTTATAAAACATGCGGTATGCTGTTAATACAGTGTTTCATAATACTGACCAGTGTTGGGGGTAACTCATTACAAGTAATGCGAGTTACGTAATCAGATTACTTTTTTCAAGTAACTAGTCAAGTAACGCATTACTTTTTTAATTTACAAGAAAATATCTGAGTTACTTTTACAAAAAAGTAATGCCAGTTACTTTGATTTCCCATTTATTGACTGACAAGTCTCCTGTCCCCATATTGGGAGAAATCGGGAGTACAGAGGCGTTGTGTGCGCTGTGTGAACATGATGTTACTGTAGTTCTAGACTAAATGTGAATGTGCATTAATTCATCCCACTCACAAAAAACAGATTTAGTATTCATCAAAATGAATTAAAACAGTGAAATGCAAACTCAGAATATGACGCAAACCTGCAATAATTAAATATGTTAAATAACACAAATGTATCTAATCCCAATTTATTAACAAATGTCTTCGCTGCTGACCTTTGATGATCCAGTTTAGCCATACTAATAAGCAAAAATGACTTTAGAGAAACTAACAATTGTGCTTTGTTTTTTATTGCTGAAGAGTGTTTCTTCTCCTGTGTTCTACTGTACAGACGTGAATTTACTTTTGCTTCAGCCTGAGGTTTATTCATTACACTTTTTGGTGTGAAAGGGCTTTTATATTTGCTATAAATAGAACTTCTTATATTAAAAACAATCAAGCCCTGCATATATTTAAAAAGTAGCGTGAAAGTAACGCAAAAGTAATATAACGCATTACTTACCATAAAAAGTAACTAAGTAACGTAATTAGTTACTTTTTTAGGGAGTAACGCAATATTGTAATGCATTACTTTTAAAAGTAACTTTCCCCAACACTGGTCCTAGCCTTTTAATACTTTCAGTAAGCCAATCAAGTCTGTCACATTGCTAAACCAGCAAATAAACTGTCACAAAATTGTGTGTGCTGTGTGAACATGATGTTACTGTAGTTCTAGACTAAATGTGAATGTGCATTAATTCATCCCACTCACAAAAAACAGATTTAGTATTCATCAAAATGAATTAAAACAGTGAAATGCAAACTCAGAATATGACGCAAACCTGCAATAATTAAATATGTTAAATAACACAAATGTATCTAATCCCAATTTATTAACCAATGTCTTCGCTGCTGACCTTTGATGATCCAGTTTAGCCATACTAATAAGCAAAAATAACTTTAGAGAAACTAACAATTGTGCTTTGTTTTTTATTGCTGAAGAGTGTTTCTTCTCCTGTGTTCTACTGTACAGACGTGAATTTACTTTTGCTTCAGCCTGAGGTTTATTCATTACACTTTTTGGTGTGAAAGGGCTTTTATATTTGCTATAAATAGAACTTCTTATATTAAAAACAATCAAGCCCTGCATATATTTAAAAAGTAGCGTGAAAGTAACGCAAAAGTAATATAACGCATTACTTACCATAAAAAGTAACTAAGTAACGTAATTAGTTACTTTTTTAGGGAGTAACGCAATATTGTAATGCATTACTTTTAAAAGTAACTTTCCCCAACACTGGTCCTAGCCTTTTAATACTTTCAGTAAGCCAATCAAGTCTGTCACATTGCTAAACCAGCAAATAAACTGTCACAAAAGCAGCAATAAATAAATATAACTTCTTATATTAAAAACAATCAAGCCCTGCTTATATTTAAAAAGTAACGCGAAAGTAATGCAAAAATAATATAACGCATTAATTTCCATAAAAAGTAACTAAGTAACGTAATTAGTTACTTTTTTTAGGGAGTAATGCAATATTGTAATGCATTACTTTTAAAAGTAACTTTCCCCAACACTGATACTGACTGTTATTTCTCAAGGTTTGTGGCATTTTACCAAAAGGATTAACATTCTTTTCCTTTATGAACTTTATATTTGAACAATCCTGCAAAATTACAGTGTCGATTTAAGCAGTTGGTTTAAATTTTAAAATTCAATTCACCTCAATACAGAAAAAAAATATTTTAATGCTTATTCATCTGAACTCATTTTACTGAAATTAAACTCCCTCTCACAAACCCTTGTGATGGTTTAGTTATTCCTCTACTGATTGTCTCATATTTTCCTGAATGACTAGCGGGTCTTTCCCGTTATCTGTTCCAGCTTGCCTATTGATTGACAGCAGCAGATCTGCCAGGCTCACATCTAAAACTGCCTGAAACTCAAGCAGTGGGATCAGTCGAGCTCTTTGGTGAGAGGGATCATTTTGAGCTCAGCTCTATGCTGCTTTAGGTTGCAAATGTGCCACTTTCACAATCCTGCCTGGTTTTAATGTAAGACTTATAATGTAAGCTTGTACTGCAATGCTTAAAATATAAATGTCTGGTTATGCAAATTATCCATGATTTCTTCTAAGAACTAGTTCTGTTTAAACTCTACCTACTAAAAGTGTTCCCTGCATGGCAAAAGATAAACTGATAACACTTTGAGATACATACAGTTCACTGTGGCCAGAGGTAGTATGTATGCCATATATATACATATATATATACAGAATACTATAAATACAAAATGCAGAACAGATCAAGTTGTTTCTAAACAAAGTGAGAAACTTTGCTAATTTTAACTTGGAGCTAAATATACTGAATTCTAGCAATGAGATATAGTGGGACGTGGAGCAGTAAATTTGTTTTTTTTCTTACTATCTACTGTACTTCCTCCAGACCTTCCACACCTTTCCTGATAGATGTGATAAATAATTTTGTCTTCTTTTTCTCAAATACATTTAAAATAATGCATTTGAGAAAAACTATTAATTCAGAAGTATTTTAGCCCAAATTCATTCACTAGAGTATGTATTAGGAATAGAGAGTGAGTTATTTTAATTCTGAGCTTAATTAAACTAAATTGTGATTTAGCTCTGTGGCTGGAAAATGTTGGCCCTCTACTGGTCAGGCAGAGAAAGTACACAAAAATGTATATATTTTCCCTCCAGAATAATATAAATAAATGCAGCCAAACATATTAATAGTTAAATACATTAATAGTTTAATATCAGTCATGTTAATAAAATATTATAAAATATATATTTGAATTACATTCTATAGGCACTTTATCTAAAATGATTCTTGAAATACTCTTAAATGTCCTTCATTACAAAAATCCATTTTTTTCTAAATCCATTTGGCAAGAAACAACCAATAAAGGTTGAATGAAGCAGCATATACTTGCATAACAAAAAACCTTATATATTGCTATATGAAAAGTAAATTGAGACAAACAGTAGCAAAAAGACTTGCATTAGTGTATCAGGAACTTCAGTAGACTGTACACTGTCAAGTAAACAAGATTTCTAGAGTCTCAAGCATGAATGCCCCCATAACCACAAAACGGACCAATATTTTCTCTTTCTAAAGGGTGTAAGTTTGAAGGTTCACGCCTCTTTGAGTTTGGTGAGCTCCCATTGGCCACCTCCACACAGTCGCAGCATGATATCATGATACTGTTTAAAGAGCACAAATAAAGAATTCTAAGTACAGGCCATACAAAAGTTTACAATAATGTTTGCCATGTTGTGTTAGTGAATGTGTAAAGGTCATAGATCATCACCTTTTTCAGAGTGCTACGGTGACCCAGACTGATGAGGGTCATTCCCAGCTGTTTACAGGCCTTATAGAGCTGACCCTCAGCCTCCTCAGTCAGAGCGCTAGTGGCTTCATCCAGTACTGAAACGAACTGCATGTCTTACTCATGACACAGGACATGAATGGGATCATCTGGCTGATTATAGTAATTAAAACTTCAGGAAGTTTGATGAGACTATGCAGGAACTGACCTGCATATTTGGGCTGCAGGTAAAACAATCTAGCAAAACAAAGCCTCTGCATTTCTCCTGGCGATAAAACATCATCCCTGTGAAAAACGAGGGAATTTCATTTTTATGTTCTTAAAACTTACACAATTTTTATATTCAAGATATTAATACTCATTTTTCACCAGTTCCAGTCTACTTTTGTATCCAGTCCTCCAATTCTGGTCAGTAGATTCGACTAACATACAAAATACACAAAGACATGCTACTTACAAAACAAAACAGGAAAATATAAAGAGGAAAGCGTATTGAACTCAAAACATCCTTAGTGACCATATTTTAAAATCAATAATAGACATTACAGTATCAGTTAAGTCTTACCAAACCAACAAGTTCCAGGTATTTTAGTATTCGTTCATCATCTATAGAGCCTAAAAGAAGAATTTATATTGGTTAAAAGTATGAAATGTCATCATAATCAGTGACACACAGAAGTGTGTCACTTAATTGGCACAACAATGTTTTCAAGATCTTGACAAGTTTGCATTGCCAAAAAAGTCAAGTTTATTGTTATAACACATTTCATACACAGTTGTAATACATCTCTCACCTGCTCTCTGAGAGTGCCATCAGTAAGATATGCTTTCTGTGGCAGGAAAAGCACACCCCTCGGTCCAAAACATGTGGTCATTTCCACAGAACCTGAGCAACAGAAAAACAGTATGATTCAACAATTCATATTTGCAACATCTGTATCTGATCCTTTTATCTTCTGTGATTTCTGTCATGTACCACTGCATGGTTCCCACAGGCCGTTGAGG